AATTTTCTGTTTTATGTAACGGTGACGTGGCAAGCTCGTGCCAAATTGTATCGGAACGTTGGTTTTATAAGGCATCGCTAAGGTTTTATGAAACACAGCTCTAAGTTTGGCAGTCTAAACAATAGTTCAAGATAATAATGATAATCACCATACAAATGAACGTCAGCAAATAGGAAATAGGCCTAGTTCCTTGTGTAGATTATTCCTGTCTCACAGAAGCAAAATCGGTTGCCTTTGAGGTAACAAACACCCAGAAGCCTATTTTAGAGGCGCTTTATTTTTCCATTTTTAATTCTTCAGTATAAATACCTCTGAAATCAGCACCTGCCAGCCAGAGTGGAGTTTTTAACTTTACACTGGGTACAGGGCAAACCTTAAAAGTGAATTTATAGGTATTTTCACTTTGGATTAAAACATTGTGGATTTGACGCATTTGCGACAGCACCGCAAGCGTCAAAATCACGAACAAAATCCAACCTACTACGAACTGTAGCGCAGGTGCACAGACTCTTGAGAAAGATTCGAAAGATTTAGTGTTCAGCATCTTAAGAAATACAGGGCTTCGAGACCATCAGTATTTCTTTGTTAACAGTAATGCTTTAACAGCACAAAATAATGCTCATGAATTCCGAACAAGTCTTTACCGCCGGTCTGATGGATTGAGGGTAATTCCAGAAATGAGGGGCGCATTTTTTTCGTGTCCCTGTCACATTGACATATGATTTTGTAAGTTCAAAACACATTTTCCAATTTCCGAGAGTGGTGAATTAATGTAAGTTACCTGCCAAACAAATAGTAATAGTTTGAAATCAATTCCGGTGATATTTTCATGTCAAATAACAAAGGTCAGATGTAACAGGGTCATGGAAAATGTCATACTTTGGACCCCCAATTTCAGGAATTACCCATAATCATCAGCATGGGCATAAACGGGAAAAGGGAAAACGAAACCTAATCAAACTCCTTTGTACAGCGAATTCAAGCTTATTTAAATACGTGCCCCCACTTTACGGAAACAACTCACCTTTCAGTCCAAAAGACCCAACGCGGGGACTCAAGGGAGAGAAAGCTCTAAAGGTCAACTACGACAAAAAAACTTCTTATCAACAGCTGTGCACACCTTGCGCTACTTGCCAAGTAGAAATGTCACAGTGTGGGATGCTTTCTTGTGGATCGCGCTCCCTCCAGACCAAGCGGCGAGCTGATGTAATGCGACGTGACGAACTTGCCCCCAAAACGGCAGTTTCAAGCCATGCCGCTCTTCCATGTACTTTATGTAGACATGTACCTCTATGTATTTTGCAATTTTGAAGAAAGAAAACTACAGGATAATGTGTGCGCACATGCGCAGTTGCCCTCGCCTCCTACCTTCGGCGTTCTAATTCACGCCGGAACAGTGGATGCAGTGGTGGGCTGTTGAAAGACTCCCATCATGTCGCGCATTAACAGTGGGCGAGGTTTGGGTTGATTTGGCTTGGGACCCTTCTCTCAAGGTTATTCCCACTGGACTGGAAAATATTTGAACCAGTCAGCATTCAGCATAATTCCTGCATGCAGTTTGTTGGCAGTTGCCACCAACTATTTGCAAGCAGGTGTCAAAGCACTGACCACATCCAGGGACAAAGGGATAACTTCAAGGAATGTCTGACAATGAAAAAATTACATCGACATTCAAACAAAAATATGTTGCTTTTCAAGATTGGCTTGGGGAGACGTTAATTTTAAATTACGGGTTTTGCTCTTACCCAGTCACTGTATATTTACAAACAGTGTTTACTCGGTGCTTGTGCGAGAGCTTGCGACAAAAAAATTGGGAGGGATTCCATAGACTACGGTGTCGTTGGTTCGAGTCCCACCCAAATGAACTTGTGAATTTTTTCGCAAGCTCTCGCACAAGTACTGAGTATACAGGGTTTATAAATATATACTGGGTAAGGACCAAACCTGTAATTAAAAAATATTTTGGATTTTTAAATTCTCTGTCTGTTTTTAATGAGGTATTTATCATACTTTAGAAAAAATAGAATTACAATAGAATTGATTGTTTAATCAATAATTTGAACATATGAAAATATAAGCAGTGGAACTTACAAAGTAAGTCAGCATGCGTATAAAATCAGATTTCGAGCGGATCCAAAAGTTACCACCCTTAGCCTACGTAAAATCAGACTTTCCAATTCCCCAAGTAGGTACGATTAAAATGTGTTGGTTTAGTACTTTAGTCTACCCCCTTCAATCCCTATCGATTTCCAAAGACAAAATGTGAGAAAATAATGTTGAAAAACTGTGGCTGGAAAAGTACAGCATGAAAATTGGGTTGAGAGGAGGCCAACATGAACAACTGCATTTTGTTTCCAGAAGTTATGTCCACCATAGCAGCCTATTCCAGAAAAACCTGTGTGAGCTAATAGGACCGCATCGTGAAGTATGAACGACCGAGCCTGCTGTGGTTTTTTTTTACCGGTCATCGCCGGTGGAAACCGGATGAACAAACAGCATCAAATCTTTTACTACAGTGTTAGCAGGCTTTGTTGGAAAACCGTCTCAGTTTTGAAAGGTGACTGATCAGTGAAATTCTCTTTGCCAAATTTTGTCTGTAAAAGTCTCGTAAACCGTTTTGTCTAGCCTGTTAAATGTGGAGTAACAATTTCTGAAATACACGAAGACCCGGTACTTGACAAGAACAAGGTCTGTAGAAAGGAATTGAAATCAGTGCCGTACCGTACATGTACTTCAACTTTCAACCACCCATGTCACGCAAGCCTCCTGTCCGGCTAATTGCCGAGCCTCGATCAATGGAAATGTTGTGCTTTGTGACTCGTATGAATTCAAGAATTGTCCTGTGAAAAGGGATAGCATTCTCCAAAAGCTAAGCTTGTAAAAGAGACGATAACATATGTGATATAAATTACTGCACTCGCGAAATGTTAAGATTTTGTTTCAGGTGCCGTTGAATTTACTGTAAAAAGACAAACAGGGACGGAACCGTGAAATGGGGCCTACTAATTTCAAATTTGGTAGTTGGTAGTGTGATTCAAACGAAAGTTCAACTCCCGCTGCGGTCATTTCTTTGCATGTTCATCTTTGTAATTCCTTGTGTGGGACACATGAAGTTAACATGTTGGAAACAAAAGGCTAATATCTGTTGGAGGTACAGCTTTCATGACGTTTTGTAGTCCCTAAAAGTATAGTCTTGATTTTTCTAGACTAGACGACCAACGCCTAATTAGGTGCACACTGAATGGAATTATGTTTACATTGCCTTGAATTTATGACAGTTACACGTAAAGCCTGATGTTTTCGTCACAAACTACTGACCCGTAATGTGGTGAAATTGAGAAAAACCCTTGAAATTTCTGAACAGAGCTTGGCTGTAGTTGTTATGGATGCGGTATATGCAGTTTTAAGATGACATCATAAATATGAATGATTAGTGGTGTTAAAACGCTATAATGAACCATTTCAGCTGAAAAGTATATATTGTCTGGTGAATTTCTGTTCTCCATACGATCATGTAATTTCTTATCTGCGCCGGGTGAGCTGGACAAAATCTTCCTAGAGGGCGAGAAGCTTGATATTGAACAACTTTCTGCAGACTGCAGTATTGGCGATAAGCGGTTGGTTGCAACCGGTATATATACATGTATATACATATCAATGATAGTATGATGACATTTAAGCTAGGGTTTTTTTTATTAAAAGGGTTTGGTTACTTTTTGAAGACTTTGTCTTTGAGTAGCCATACATTTAAGGTGAATTTTGATCACTGTGATTGGAAATTATATTAAAGGCAAACTTTGATTTCGTCTTCCGGAAGACAGCATGACCGCCGTAGGCCCGTGGTTATCAGAGGTTATCACCGTGTGCATGGAAACAATCGGCCGTGTTCAGAGTGGTCTGAACGGTACCTCCAGTACGCAGTGTTGGTGGGGTTGCATTTTCTCAAGGAATTCAATGTGACCAAATTACAAGTGTGGTATGAAAACCGTATCGAATCACTGTCTCATGGCCGACGATGGTCTGTGTTTATATCAAAGACATGTACATGTACGTACACAATTTTTGCAACTAAATAAAGACCCCACTTGACAAGTTTTGTTCAGTGTTTTTACATTTAATTTAAATTATTCACTACAAATTATTTTTCACATTCTCCCTTTTCCTGGTGGATTAGGTACATTTCTCTTTTAGGCAACGAATCTTGTTTCTTCACTTGAATTTTAAAACCATTTAATAAACACCTTACTCCTTGGGTGTATGTAAAATCATATTGAAATTGGACGATTGTAGAGTGTTAATTAGGGCTGACGGTGAAAGCAAGCGCTTGTATTCGCCATTTTCACACAGAATTCTCCACAGCAGTCAAGCTGTCATTCACCTGTTTCTGAGTATGACAGGCTCTACTTACTGTAAGATTCATCGTTGCGAAATTCCACTCGGAGAGTTTATCTAAAATGAGATCAGAGGAAGTTGTGAATTTGTAATGTTATGGTCCTTTGATTAAGGCCCGTATTCTTCGCAGTTCACGTATCTTTTCCTGTGACTGACTTGAAACTCAGTGACCTGCTTTTTAAACATGCTGACATTTTTATTTTTATTCTCTCAATTAATGAATGAATTTATGTATTTCTTCTGGACATCAAATTGGCAACAAAAATCCTACGAACTGAGGGTTTCAATAGCCATCACGGCCAATTTTCCAAATCGGCGAAGAGTATCTTCTAGGCCTATTTGTTTGTAATTAGCTTGAACTTTACGGTCACGAGTTGTTATCAGCATGATCCACTTCTGCACGAATAAGTTTGCGTATTTTCACCAAAATTGGGTACTTGATTCATTTGCAAATCAAAACTGTAGGCTACTAACACTCTTTGCGTAAAGCAGTAGTTCGCCTAGCTACATGACTTTGTATGGGGATTCCATTATTTGCATTTGATATATAATCGAAAACGTTTCTCTGCAAAGGTTACACCACTAATGGTGAGATTTATTCCACTTACCCGCTTTCTGTTAGTCGTTTTCAGGCTCCTAAGTCCCAGGTAGATCGTCGCAGCCAGCCAAAAATACGGTAATGAGCGTTAAGGTGATGAAATCGTCGTCGGCTCTAGGAAGGTCCTCCTTCGGTGAAGTGTAGCTACGTGACTGGCAAATAAAGAGTTCCAGAGAGCTCTTTACATTATACACCGTACTGAAAGTTTCCCCGTCCTAATTAACCCTTTCCTGGATAAACGCACTGTAGTCCTTGGTAAGAAAATATGCAGCCCTCCTGCCAGCGCTCTCTCCAAAAAATATTGCACACCACTTTCGCATCCAGTGGACAATCTGAAACAAGGTGGCGAAAAGATTTTTTTCACATGGACGCCATCTTTTGGTCAGACGCGTGACGTCACTATGAGACGGCGCAAGGCAGCGCAGCCAATGAACGAGTGCCAACGCCTTGCCTCAGGCTTTACGAAAGCTCGGGTATTTTTTATTCATCAGTTTTCAGTTTGGCATTCAAAAGACCATTTGCCATGTGCTTTGTGTATTTCTCTCATAAGTGTGTTGTTCATAAGAAGTGCGTTCTTACGGAGGAAAAAAGAATCAATCCTCAGCATTTTGCTGCTTTTTTCAGATAATAAAAAAGGCTCCATGTCCAGCATATCTAGAGTCTAACAATACCAACTGACACCAACTGTGTTCTGCTCGGCAACTTGGCTGGGGAAGCCAGTAACAAGACTGTAATACCAATCCACAAGTCTCTTTCAATCCGAGTTACGTTGGAAAGGGGGGGGCGGGGTAATCAATCAGCAGATACGAAGCGCTGGCTACCAGACCGTTACAGACTGCACGTGAAAGGTGGCAGAGTTAAATTTGGAAACGCTCTGGGCTTATTTCTTTGTGTATCACTCAACTGGCAAACGTAACAATGAGTCTTTAGCACAAAGGTTTGATAGTGGCCTTGTAATCTGGTGCTAAATATAGTGACTCTGTCGTTATTTTTGGTGCATTCCCAGGTTTCTATTATTCGAATTGAACAAAAGGAGCTTCTATAAATAGTAAACTTGAGAGAGTGGGCATGAATAGCGGATATCTTGAGACAAATGAACTCGGTGTAGTTCGAGGGAAGTTCATAGTCCGGGCATGAAAATGGAATACCATCGTTGCCTATAAAATGTCTTCCCATCATGCCCTGCTTCTGCCTAATAATGCGCCACTGTGAAAACCACTCTTAGTGGGCGTGGCTTAACTTTGTGACGCCCACTTTTTATGGTAATTTTTTTGAGCAATTCGATCTGCCCACCGTTTTGAGACCACAGCAAACTTTACACAGCTGTTTAGCCTGTAAAGGGTTTCTGGTGTAAATCCATCTTCACTACATTTGCGGAACACAACGTCCCATTCAATAGGTCACAACATGAACACGTGTATTTTAATTACTGCTGCTTCTCAGCTCAGGCGAAGTTCGGTAAACAGACCACTTGTTGACTAACAAGAACAATTTATTAATCAAACTTAGCCTGATTTTAGCTGGGCAGTAATTGTTGGGTAGTAATTCAGAAATAGTGTCATAGCTATATCATTTGATCTGACGTGCCTATGAAAAGCAAAACGTCCATTGCGATGATTTTGTTCCCAGCAAAACTTGTTGTGGTGCTAAGTTTATGACCTTTATAGCAGTCCTTTCAAGTACTAGAGAGCACATCCTGTAGGTACGGTAGCGGAAACGTACATTGTATGTATTCTCCAATCTTGTGCGAATTTCGGGCCACAGACGTGCTGCTGCTGCTTGCACGCGCAGAGATACACATGTATGTGGTTTCCAAATTAAGTTCTGCCACACTCTAGTTGTTCGTGGGTCTTTTACATCTGTTGCATGCTGCAAGAAAGACTCCGTCACGAGTCATCAGAGAATAGGTGCGGCGACATTTGACCCATCTTACAAAGCTGAAGCAAAGTACTTAAGGACATGACCAAAACAAAATAAAACCTTCGACAAATTTTAATTTTGTTAAACAGCGAATTGGTACCAACTCACGCAAGTTTTAATCGTAAGCATTTGTTTTTAAAGGGGAAACGATCACATGAAATAAACGAACAAGTCATACAATAAAGCAATCGATTGCCATGAAAGCCACATTAGGTTTCACATCATAAACCATCAACTATACCTAACTCAAAACCGGTTTACTTGTAACTAGTTTAGATAACGCAGTCATAAAGAGTCAAGTTACTGCATTCTAAGTACCATGCCAGAACGTAGTTTACATATCGTTCAGTGCCTCCACCAGTCTAAAAAAACCTCATGGGTGGTAACCAGCCCAAGTCTCTCCTCCTCCATTACAAGGGTTTATACCTTTAAAACCAACTAAACTAGTTAATAGGACAATACTGGTTTATGATACACAGTGACTATCTTCACCAGGATTACAACTCCGCATCTGATGAACAGATGAGCTGTTGTGTATGTACACTTTTCAGATCATGATTATATTTTGTGATAGGTTGGACTTAATCAAAAACCATGGTTCAAGTTTCTCAAGCATACAAGGTTCACGATTAAATGTTTTCAGTTTGGAATGAGACCATGATATCCGTAACATAATTCCAAACAACCTTTCATTAAAATATGAAGTGTGCACCAAAGTTACAATACAAGATTTGGAAAAAGTAAATAAAGGACTTATTATACATGAAGTTTAGTACTACTAGGTCCTACTGTTAAAATACAGTTCACGTGTGATCTTTATGTGGGAATTTACGGTAATGACAAAAATATTGGTACCATTACTAGACCATCTTTTCAGCCACGATTGGTAATTAACAAGTTCTTCTCACTACAACTGCAAACATCCGTGCTTTTTATTTTGCAAAACTGGCGTGCTTCTGTCAGAATTTTCCCCATCAACCCAATACATGTACCTGACTCTCACAATTACAGGTACAAACTGATTTGGTTAAGGTCACATCTTGCGATTGCCTTTCATCGTCATCAAACCGCATTAGCATTCAAACAATCGGTTAAAGTCCTGTAAACATTTCAAATGGTTTAATCATAAACCACACAATGTTGTTTATAAACCGTTTAACTAACCCCTGTAGCATGCATTTTCACTCCGCTTACATCATTAACTTTGTAGCGCCTTCATCCGATTGATTAATCATCAAACAGTATATATTTATTCAAACATGGCTCCCAGATCAAAGGTGAAGATTTAAGGCTCCGAATCTTTTCAGCCAAATCTTTGCCTCAGTTTTGTTGACTGCGATGCCATTTTTAAACACTTAATACATTTATACTTCGTCAAGCCAGCGAAAGTATTGAGAACCTTTCACATTATTTTATTACAGGTATATTTTAAGAATAGAAAGTTGCATAAATGACAAATATAAATAAGTAGATTTTTTGTCATCAAATTAAATACTATAGTTAAATACTATATCATAAAATGCTATGAAATCAATAAATAAACTAATCATCTGTCTCAAACTATTGCATATTATTGAATGCACCTGTTTGCATATTATTCATTTTAAAAGTACTGAGCTATATAGTACTAATTGAATACAAGCAAAATTATTAATAATTATTGCCTTTTGTCCCCCAAGTTGCTCCGCCCCCACAAAGCATTTTGGGGGTTTAGGGCCTATAGGAAATAACACTCAAAAGAAAAAAATGAATTCATGTGACAGGAGTGTGTATTATTTAGTGTACAAGAAATTTCTGAAAATGTTGCTTTTGAACATTGCTCTGTCAAAGGTCACATATCCCTGTGCTAAATAACCTGCATGCAAAGCTATGCCTCATTGCAAAGTGCTAAGAAACATCAGAGTCTACGTCATCAACCTATTCCTCCTCTTCCTCCTCCTCTTCTTCTTCCTGATCTTTTCCATCGGTTGACGTTACAGAACTCCGACTACTGCGGCTGCTACGGCTACTGCGATCAGTTACTGGGGAAGCTTGGGCTCGAGGGATTGGCAAAGAGAATCGGCTGAAACCACCCTGTGAAAAGACAACAAACTAGCAGATATATTTCTGTATAAAAGAGTCTACAAAACAACATTCGAGAAGATCAACTTCTGAGAAAGCTCAACTCTTATATCCAACAGTCCTCAGTTCTCTAATTTGATTTTTTTACCTCTCCTAGAAATTCATTGTTAAATGTATTGCCTTACTTTGTGCCTTACCCCAAAATAAAATTTGAGAATTTCACTAAACATGCCTTTCAGTGAAATGACTCAGAACAGTTTGTACAATGTGCTGCAGGCACATCTTTTGGCTAAATCAACATACTTGGATGTTTTGAAGAAAAAAAAACCAAAAAAACCAAAAAAACGGTAAATTACAGTTGTGACAAAAAAGATCTAGACTCTCGATGTAAGATGATTACCAAACTGATTACAATACTTTAACTTCAGAGAAACATGGTGAAGATTGCTACCATTACATTACGATTTTGGCATGTGTATACTTGTAATACATTACCCTTTTATGCCAATCCAATGGACCAACAGAAAATGGAATCCACATCCACGAGTGCCCTCCGTGTAATAAAACTACTTGTAAGCTTCCTTACAAAACTACAATGATAAAACATTTCTTTGTTTACTCCAAGTGCATCCTTTTTTTGAGAGATTTGATCCATTTTTGCACTTTTTCTTACAGACTTGGGTGGTGAACTTCAAATCCCAGACAAAGAAACCCTCCGATTAGCCAAACCTCTTTGGACAGAAGAGCTTGATCAGAGAGGATTTACCATAGAGATCTACAATGATATGCTTGGATGGTGGTAATGAGACATCTAACGACGGCTAGAAGATGAGGCACTCTTAGTGTAGCTTGAAGATCCACTGGCAGATTTCTATGAGATGGTAAGGGAGAGGAAGGTTTGGTGGAGGAAGGCCAAAGATGGTATAGTGACAGGGTGTTGGTTTGTGTGGGTTGTTTGTGTAGGAGGATATTTTTTTACAAATGAGGTATGCAAAGAATCACGTTTGAGGGATTGAACATGAAGTTGGAGAGATTGAGAGGTTGGAGAGAGAGAGGAAAGGTTAGGTTTAAGGATGGGTGAAGAAAAGAGAAAGAAGTTCATGATTAGGAGCTTGAGTTCTTCTCTTATTTGGTGAGTGATAGGATTTCTGTGTTTGTAATATCCAAGCAAATTTTCAAGTGTACATTGAAAAGCAATCTGTTTCCAAATCCCTTTTTCTAAGTGCCAAAAATACAAGGTTTACATTTATTTTTTTTTTAAACCAAGCAGGGAAAAATGTGCAATTTACACGGAAAAATAAAATGAAAATATAGTTATGCTTCAGAAATGCTTCATGCAGATTCATGTAATTTAGAAAAATTATGAACAACACTTCATGGAAAGCATTTAGAGATGTCGTAAGTTCAAGCTCTGGAAGAATTACTTGTTTTGATAAAGATCGAGCGAATGGAACTTTCATAATTGAAATCAGCTCAATGAAACAAAACCAAGCTTTCAAACTGAAATTACATTCAGCAATTCAAATGATTAACCTTCCAATGATATGACAAAGTAGAATTAGTTAACTTTATCACATTTAATGAGGCATGTAGATTCAATCATGATAATCATGCTGCTGAAGCTCAGAAAAGTGAACATTTAGTAAGAAAAGAAAAAGTGGCAAGGATGCAAGAATTGTTAGTGTGGGAGGGGTATGCAAATGATAAGAAGCCTGACTGCAGTGAGGTTGGATGACATTGCCATGCTGTGAAATACACTATTACCGGTGGCTCTGTCACTCAGGGATAACCTAGTACCTCTGGAATAATGTTTCAGTGCACTACTGTTTAAACAACCAAAACAGGGTTTGCCCACGTTCCTTGACCTAAATTATGACACTATGAAAGAGTGATTAAATTTGAGCAAGTGAAGAGTGGATAACCTCTCTGCAGATGAAAGCAGCATTTGGGACAAACCTTGACATGGTGTTAGTAAAGAGAGGGGCCTACATGCTTGAATTCTAGGACAAAGATGGAAACATGCTTTGTAAAATACTTTCTGGCTACCACAGTGTGTGGCTAGCAGGAATTTGAGGCGGCAGACAAAGAAAAAGAACTTTGACTAAAGATACCCAGAGACCTAAATCACGGAGGCAATTCTGAAAGATCTGTACAGGAAACCTTGGTGTCTGGTTTCATCACTTGAAATTCAACCCAATCCCGGCTTGAAGGAAGAAATGGGACTGGGAAATTAGAAAAGTCATGCACAATCAAAGCAGCAAGAAAATTCTCAATGTTTTTAACAGTCTCTCTGCTCAGTTTGCCACACTACTGTTGCCATTTCTGGCAGATGCCCTCATGCAAACATTTCTAGTTTCAATCTAAGAACCCCATAAGCTGTGGTGCATTTGCCATGCTGCCCACATTTGTGGATCAGTAATAAAAGCAATGGCTTAAGAAATGCGCAAATTAGGCTAGAAATGAGTGTTGGGTATTTCAGAAAAACAAGGAACTGTGTCATGCAATGACTCTGCCTTTTAGGAAATTTGGGTTGTTTAAAACAACAAACTGCAGGTTAAATTGAGACCCCATTCATTGGTCAATTGGCATGATCGCTCGCTGGTGGGAAATACAGGTATGCTGCGTCAGCTTTGGCAAAAGTCAATCAGGAATTTGAAAAAGACAGCACTTAAAAAAACTTGCTGCAACAGACAAATTGTCAGGCATTTTTAAAAACACATCAGCCATATTGTTTTCTTCTTCTCAAACAATTAGCCCATTGAAAATTGTAAAATTATGAATGGAAATGAGATATCAGTAAATAATGCCAGGTACTTTAGGCCTGAGGTTTAGGAACTATCTTCCTTATTTGCATATTTTTTTTCCGGCCAATGATGACTCTCGCCACAATGACGTCCACTGCTCCTTCCATTCCTTGCTGAAACATACAGCATGATTGGTGCATTTTCCGGCTCTCAACCATGCCGCCTGACATGATGAAATCGGGCCGCAGTGCAAATATGAAAACCAACAATTGAGAAAAGAATTTGAGAAATGCGCAAAAGTACCGTGGCAAAATTGAGAGAGAATCGAGGGGGCTCGCTTGCTGAGATCAGTTAGTAGTACAGGTACGTATCAGGCCGCTCAAATTCGTAATCGATTTCTTGTTCGGAATCGGAATCGCAATGTACCGTGGTGACGCGGGTGGTGGTGGTGAGAGCACCACTGCGGTGCTTGGCACGCAGCTTGTTGACTGTGGACTCGGCGATCTCCACGCGTTCCTCCATATCCTCCAGCTCACGCTGGGCTCCCTTGAACTTGTTGAGATTCAGGTTGGCCATCTCTTCCTGCAGGAATTAAGGTTCAAGTTTCAGAGGGGAAGAGTTGAAACTGAATAGTTTCTCAGGAAACAGCTGTGGCTTTAAGAGATTTCATGACTGTGTTGTGGAGGGACCTTCACCATTTACTTCTTAATAGCTGTTGTGGGACCCTGACATACTCATATATAGAACAACAATATTCTCATGGCCACGTGAGAGAAGTGCCATACACACAGCTGTGATGGTATTTCTGTGATATGAACATTACTGCGAGTAGAAATCGGCATCTGGAACAATCTCAATATCCATCAAGACAAAATTACTTTCACAATTTTTTTAGCCACGTGTCTCTCAACCTAAAGCCAACTTACAGCCTCCTCCACTTGTCTCTTGAAGTTCTTGCATTTGATCTGCAGTTTATCAACCACCTCCTGGAGCCGTTCCTGGCTCTTGCGGTCTTCATCGGCAGACACGATCATGTCCTTCAGACGGCGGTCCTGCTTCCTTATAGCTTTGTCTAAGTCACTGCGGCGGCGGCACTCTGCATCCAGATCACGCTCAGTGTCATGCAGCTACGGAGGGGGAAATAAAAGAGGACTGCCCTAATCAAGCATGTCTGGAGATTGATTGCATGTCAAAATAAAATGAAAGCTTTATTCCGCATTTCATCCACCAAACAAAAAAGCTGTAAATTCTGAAGTGACACAACATTATTCATCCGCTTCTCTTGCTGCATCCTGTGTTTTCTTTTTGTGCTGGACTCACACCTGCAATCGGTCAACAGGTGAAATGTCTCCTGTAATCATCAACCACTTAAACTGTCCATGGCTTACTTGGCCGTTTCAAATTTGGCACAGTAATAGGTACCACACTCAAAACCTTCCTGACTTGACCTTTGACTCCCCTTCCCTCATTCTCTTCCACTGGCTACCAGGCATCACTTACCTTCTTCTCCAGCTTCATGATGGTGGTCTTTCCTCCTTTGAGGGCCATGGCCTCAGCTTCTTCCAGTCTTGATGTCATGTCCTTGATGGTGATCTCCATTGACTTGTACATCTTCTGGACGTGCAAGGAGTGGTCCTGCTCTGCCCTGAGTTCTTCTGCCATGCGAGTGGCCTGGAAAAAGAAAATAAAATGAGTTTTGTAGTCAGGCAAGTTATTTTGTAACTCTTGCCACGTTTTGTCTCTCTTCACCTTAAATAAAAGACATCCAGTAGTCCTTTAAAAACTGTGAAACTCCTAGTCATGATTTGATGGATTAACTATTTCAAGTACAGTTTCCCAACATGTTGTTAACCAAACTTCAGAGTATCTGATTCAAGCTAACTTACATCTGATACAGCCTTCTTGCAGCGATCGTCTGCGTTGCGTGCCTCGTTACTCATGTCGTCCAGCTCGCCTTGGATGGTCTGGATCTCGGCCTCAAGTTTGCGGCGCTGGCTGGTCAGGCTATGGTTGGCAGTGGTCAGTTCAGACATACGGTCAGACTGGTCGGCCAATTCCCCTTCTGCTTGCTTGCGGCATCTTTCAGACTGAAATTGCACATTTAAATGGGGAAAATAAACAGCTGTAGTCTGAGGTGAGGGATTTTTTTTTTTAAAACCTGGGAAAGGGCTGGGGGGGGGTGGTGGTGGTGTTATTGACGGGAATCAAATTTGGCTAACATACATGTTCCAGAGTGGCACGGAGCTCTTCCAATTCAGCCATGAGAAGGTTGGATCGACGCTCAATCAACTGCAGCGTGTCACGTGCATCATCACGTTGACGGCACAGTTCATCACAATGGTCATGTGATTCCTGTTGAAGCAAAATTATAACAAATTACTCTGAAACATCTTCAAACCAAAGAAGTTTGTAAATACCTCGTAGTGAAGAAGCTTTTTCAACTACAACAGTGCATGAATGTGCTACCTGCTGTAGCATGCCTTTGTACTTCCATAATGGAGCTTATTAGAAAAAAAAAAATTACACAGTTAAGTGGATTCAAATCACCAAACCTATTTTAAATTTTAGTGTTTTTCACCACGTGTGTTGGTGTGCTAGTCTGATTTGCTTCTGATACCAAACTGTTCACCTTTTGAAGCCAAACCATTCCTCCAAACCTACCTTGAGATCGGCCAGGTACTTCTTGATGAGTTTGTTCAACTCAGCGAGTTGTCTATTGGCAGCATCCAGCTGGATCTCCAGCTCGTTGACTTCGCCTTCCAGTTTTTTCTTGAGTCGGAGAGCCTCGCCCTTGCCCTTCATCTCCACCTCCAGGCTAGCCTGCATGGACTCCAGGGCACGCTGGTGGTTCTTGCTGTCAAACCAAGCAGAATGGACACTTCAGCTATCACTGAGGGGCTAACAAATGTACTCCCCTGGGGAGTCGGTTTGCTACAGTTGTACTTTCCTTGCCTTTCATCTCTAAGACCCACCCTTAATATGCTGACAGACATGGTGTCTTCTTTCGCTTTAAACCTGGACATTGTTTGGTACAGATTTCTTTAGATGTAAAAGCTCAAGTGTTGTGAGTGGAAATAGAACAATAAATACAGAGGCTCTGTTTTGAGTAAGATGAGACAAGCCTCTTATTTTTAAGTAAATTCCACATTTATTTCAAGGACACTTTGCAATGTGTCCAAAACCTTAGAACCATGTAACTATATAAGAAGGATTCTCCTTCACATAAATGGAGGAATATTAATAGCATCATTAAGTTAGATTTGCTGCAAGCAGAAACCTGATGCAGCTTTTTTTCAAGTTTTATCAAGTAGAAACCATACCAAATTTGGTTCAGCCAGAAATCAGTGGTTAATGTTTAAAAATGCATAAAATCTATGAAAAGCACTCAGCCGTGTCGCAACTACTTGGCTGCAGAGTAAAATTGTAACAAGACTCCATGGAAAGTGGCTACGGCCACAGGCTTGTGTGTAATTTCAAATTGCTGCCAAATAACTTGGACTCGGCCTTGGACTTGAATGTCAAGCCACACTCACCGAGTGGCCTCAAACTCTTCATCCTTCTCGTTGAGGCGTCGCTCAATTTCATTCTTCATCTGGGCCAAGTCCAGTTGTGCACGGACCACTTTGCCTTCCTCCAACTCCAAGGCATTCTCGGCTTCTTCCAAAGCTGCCTGAAGTTCCTCCTTCTCCATCTCCAGGCGCTTGCGTGCCTTCTCCAGTTCGTGGACGTTCTTGCCACCCTCACCGAGTTGGTCGGTGAGTTCAGCAATCTCAGCTGGACAGGGGGAAAAAAATAAGATGTTTGATGAGGAGGAAATTTGGCCACACTAAAGTCACCCAGAAACCTTGGAACTGCTTTTCTCCATAACTACTGTTTTCATATTTACAAATATGAGGTGGACCCTACCAGTAGTGGTCCGGTTTTATAGCAACATCACTTGTTTGGAGTTTTTCATACCACAGTAAATTCTGTCATGTTGTGGGGTTATGAAAGAATTCGTAAAAATAAAGAATACCTGAATTTTACCTGAATTCTTTTGATTTGAATCCTAAAGGTTTTGACTGGCATATTGACTATATCTTTCTGTTAAGCTCCAGACTGTCTGCCTTGAGCAGAAGCACCCCCTCATTGGTTGAAAAGAGCCATGTTGGTCAGAAGTGTTCATTTTGTTGGTAGCGATGCGACTGTAAAACGTGCATATCCTAGTTGTTTATGAGCCAGCGAAGTTCAATTCCGACCAAAGGAGCCTCCGTCTCTAAGAAAATTGCGCTCTGTTGGGTCCAGCTCGGGGCTTATACTACTTTTTTATGAAGAAGGTAATTTGAATCAATTGGAGATATAAACATAGGAAAGGATGGCTCAAGATGTAGATCACTTGATAAGACCACTCAGTATGTTGAATGTTCAAATCCAGCTGTGGCTGCTGTGTATTCTAGAATACACAGAATTCTTAAAAATGCAAAAGGATAGACCCCAACCAAAGCAAAAGAGCAACCTACCTTGCAAGGTCTTGTTTTCCCGGCGGCAACACTCAACAGTCTCGCAGACCTCTTCGTAGGAGTTCTTAACCTTGAATAACTCAGTGGAGTTCAGGCGAACATCACGTTGGGCACCCTCCAGCTCCACAGTCAAGTCGTCCACCCTGACCTTCCATTCGCCCAAGACTTGGTCAAAGTTGCGCTGCTTCTTCTCCAGGGCATTGGCACGGCTGCATTCCTAGAGGACAAAAAAAGAACTAAAAAAGATTGTCCGCCTGCAAAGTTCAGTTATGAAAAGAAGTGCAGTATAATCTAAAACACATAACAGCAGAGGGAAATTTAGGACTGCTATTGACATTCACTAGCGATGAGTTGAATTGCCAATAGCAGAAGACAGAGTTGAATTGCCATGGTAATGGTCATAATTTCATGGATTACCCTTAGAACTGCCATTGATTGATGTTGAAATATTTATTCATACATTTCATGGCCAACTGGCCAAATTACATGTGTGCTACCAAAAAAATAAAAATTAAATAAAGATACAGAAAAATGATGACAGTGGACAGATATGAGAAGATGTTGATAATATTTCATTATATAGCCGCTATCTTTGAAGTCCTGAACAAACATTAGTAAAGTTTTCAATACAAAAGGAACATGTATTTTCTGTGTAGCTTTAGTTTGCTGAAAGTCCTGAGTACATAGGTGAAACTCGAAGAGAAAATGGGCGACAACTGTCACGATACAATATGCGCCTGTTAATGTTCTCCTGACAGGGGACCTCACATGTTGCTAATGTGCCCTCACAGGGTTCCTGCACCTAAAGGACAATTAAATTCCATGACTTTTCCATGACCAACTTATGAAAATCCCCGACCAAATAATGGACTATTCGGCCTTTTAGGTTGCAAATACAATCACAGATTTTATGCGCTCATTTCTGATAATAGAAATCACACAGTGCTTTATGACTTCCATGACAAACTTTTACATCATTTTTACAAAATTCTATGACTTTTCCAGGCCTGAAAAAGGAAAAACAAATTTCCAGGACTTTTCATGACTTTTCCAGGTTGCAGGAACCCTGCCTCATTATACAGATTTTTTTCCCATTTTCACTGCAAGAAGGCAGAGCTGAAAGTAACGTGTACACTCACCCTCTCCACGTCAATCAGGAGATCCTCTACTTCCCCAGCAAGCCGGGTCTTGGCCTTCTCCAGGCTGCTGTTCTTGGTCAGTGCCTGGCTGAGTTGCTCCTCAATTTGGGCCAAGCGCACCATTAGCTTCTTCCTAAAATGCACAAAGTCCACGCAAACTTCAGTGCCTGACCAATTTTTATTACTTGTGATGTCTTTCCATTCTTTAACTTTACACAAATTTACAGCATAATTATGTATTATGAGGAGCTTTATTAAAGATACATAAAAATATCCACAATACTCCTACAATCTGGACAGAATAATAGAGTTGACCAGAAAATTTATGGATAAAAAGTAAATCATTTGTCATTTGTACAGATAATGTTTAAGGTATGATTATCAAGTTTTGAAATATAATTATCAAGTTCAGTGAGAAGATACGTCAACTTGTTTTCTTTTTACTTTCCAAATCACAGCACTTTCTACTGAGGATAAAATAATCCCACAAAATGCAGTCCTGACCTCTGTTCTTCAAGATCTTCTGCCCGCTGTACGGCTTCCCCATCAAACTTGGCCTTCATATCCTGCAAATCCTTGTTGCTCTTGGCCAGTTGGCGAGCCAGGTCAGAACGTGCCTCGCACTCCTCATCCAACTGGTCCCGGAGAGAGTCATTGTCCATCTGGGCTTGCTTCAGTTGCTGGTTCACTTGCTGGCGAGCCTACAGGGAAAAAAAAGATAATATTTGGAGTCTTTGTACTAAATCTTGGGAGGGCCACAAAACTTGTAGTGATATCAAGGTAGCGGCATACCCTGGGGATCACGGAGCTTCACTCCCTCAAAGACCCTTTGACCCTGGATGATTTCTCTGAATAATTCAGGTTACTCAGCCGGTGACGTAAGCCCCACCAATGACATGACTGGGTATGTCATTGGTGGGGAGAGGTGGACCTACCATAGGTCTCTCTCAAATGACGTCACTCCCTACAGATTGCCACTTGCGTCGCCACTTTTTACTAAAATTCCAGTGACGCGCATTGGCTTTACCGTATTTGGAACATATTTCAATCAGCACAAGTGCAAGTTTCAAACATTTTGCAAAGTGCATGCACACGCACCTGTTTAAGCTACAAAGATGGTGTCCAGTGACAGAGATCTATAACTTAAGTACACTTTGCAAAGACAGGTCTAGTTCCCTGTTGCAAACTAGGATTCTCTCAGTGTGTGCCTCTGCAATGGAATGAGGACATAAAATGCTTCAAAGTGACGGTAAGGATCTCTCCCATTTTTCCCCATATTCCTACCCTGGCCTCATCTTCCAGCTGCCTCTTGAGCTCTTCCAGCTGAGCCAGCAGCTGCATGCGGTTCTTGCTCATCTGGCCAGAGTTGCTCTCGGACTCCTCCAGTTGGCGAGTCAGCTCCGAGTTCTCATTATTCAGGCGGTTCTTCTGGGAGTTGAGCTCACTGATGGAGCGGGTGTGCTCATCGAGACGGGCATTGGCTTCGGACAGCTGAGCTTCCAATTGGTGGATTGCCTTGTCAGAGTTCAACTACATAGAGGGTGAAGAACACGGCTGTATATAGAGAGTAGCACCAACTTCAGACTTCAAAACCAAAATGGCTGTTCATTATCTGTGCAGCTATTGTGTGCTAATTGTCCTTGTGCACTGACACTTAATCAACCATTTTGGTTCCAACACTTGAGACACTCATGTCGCAACTCTCTCTTTAAATAACTCTAGTGAAGAAGACATCAAGTCAGATTTTCTAATCTTAAAGGGACTAATGATCTTTTTGGCAAGCACTGCTTTGTTGTATGACCTGTTATTTCTGACAATGTCCTCACACAGAAAGGAGGCATGGGCTGGTAAGGTTCTTGAATCAGTGTGGAAGGAAACTTTGACCTATCACTTTGGTACTCACTGCTCACATTGTGTGACCAATCAACACATGATAATAAAACTCATGTGGTCCAATCCCTTGCCAGACCCTCAAGCCTGTAGATCAGCACCTTATTCTGAGTTTGAGCATGATACACCGATGCTTGCCAGAATCCCACTTAGGGGCCAATCCATCCCCGTTCTGAATTGTACCACTCTTCCTTGGAGGCAAAATGTGAACCTTTAACTGTATTCATACCTTAGATCTCTGTAGCATTTCAATGTTTGTGTTCAGGTCCTCCACCTCTACCTTCAGCATCTGACGATCCTTGTCGATCCTACCAAGAAATGAAGAAATGGGAGTGTCAGGAATACAGACCGGCACAAATCAAATTCCAGCTCAGTCTGCTTTCCATCCTCTTGAGAATGCAGTCCATTCTCTTTAAGTGTACTTTGTGCTTTAAAGCAAATGTAGATCATTAGGTGAAGAAGAATGTCAAGAAACATTCTAGAAGATACAAAAAAGTGGCCATTCCATAAATTATTCGTATCATTAACTCTTTTAATCTTGTTTGATTATATCTTATAACCTTTTATAACGGTTACGCTGTAATTTCTAGTTTAATTAACAGGTGATTTTTAAGTTTTCTTTATTTTTTAAGTATATAATATTACAATCCAATGACTTAAAATTTTCGAATTTATGAAGGCCTATGGGAGTTTTCTAATCAAGACGAATCAATAAATAACATTTCTAATCACACACATTTCCACAGCAGTGACTTTGTAATACAAAGGAACTGTCACTTATCTTGTGCAAACATGAGGACCATGTGCCTACACCACACCCAAATGTTGCCACACTCACAAAACAGCTACAAGCTCAGAACTCACTTGGTCTTGGCCCTGGAGAGCTGGTCCAGGTTCTCGGACAGCTCGGAAACGGTCTCCTGCTGCTTCTTGCGGATGGACGCCATGGAGGTCTCATGCTGCATGTGGGCTTCATCCAGATCCCGCTTGATTTTGATCAGCTCCGCCTCTCGCTTCTTGTTCAGCTCAATCTGCGCGGAAGTGGCTCCGCCCTGTTCCTCCAGACGGTCGCTGAGGTCATCAAGCTCACGGCTCAATTCAGCACGCTGCTTGTCTGCCTACAATGGTTAAAAAAAAAAGAAACATTCACAAAGTTTGTCATGATTGTTAACTTTGTATTAGGGGATCCTTTAGCTGCAGGTTCTAGATAAACCTATTTAGCTGAAGTGTCCAAAATAAAGGATCGTGTATTCTACTGTGTCATGACACTAACATGCAAAAAGAACTCCATGAAACTAACATGTAAAAAGGACTCCATGAAACTAAAATATAAAGTTTCTTACATGTCACCTATAAATAATCATAACTTATTTGTCTGAAAAAAGGGCTCACACAGATCTGACTCTGAAATGAACAAATTCTTTATGAATCTGTTCTTAGACGAACCTTCCACAGTACTGCAGATTCATGGCTATGCATGCCAAAAAGTCATTTATTTTTCCTTCACTGTCTTTTTAAAAGCTACATGAACACCATGACATTAAAAGAAATCTCCGGCCTGACCCCCCCCCGGAAAAATTCCTGGATCCGCCCCTGCCATAAGATAAACCTTTTCCCATTGTTGAATTGAAAACAATTAGCACTGTCCTTTTTACTGACCTGACTCTGCAACTTGTCTAAAAGACAATTTTAAACAATAGGGTTAAATTAGATTACAGAATTAAGCAAAAGTTTGACAAAAAAGACAACAAGAAGACAGTTTTTGAAGTCCTATCTTACCTTAGCACGAGCCTGTCTTTCGGCTTCCAACTCTTCTTCAAGCTCTTCAATTCGGGCCTGTGAGCAGTTAAATATAAATGAAGTACTTTTATTTTAGATGTCAGGTTTTCATCAGGATATGGAAATAGGCAAAAAACAAAAATATTTGATCTGGCTTTTCACTCAATAACAGACCCACATAATCAAAATTATAAGTCTACAAATATAAATTTCGTCTATTTTTCTAGAATAACAAACCTCTGAACATAAACTGTGCATTTTTAATAATGAAATTAGAAGAAGAACATAATTTAAAGAGACGGTGATTGCAGGGAAAACTGAAAGGCCACTGATTGTGTGTAGACAAATAAAAATGTCTAGAGTTCAAAAATCAAATGGAAAGACCAAAAAATTGACGAAATGTTTACATTTAGTCACTGCAGACTTTGTAAAATCATTATGTAAGGAAGATACACATAAGGGAACTGACAAAATACAAATAAACCTAATTATGCCACCTTAAAGATATGCAGGCTTTATGCTAGATGTTGGTCTACACATCCATTGATTTCAGTCCATAATTAAACAGCAGGCTTCTAAAGAGGACAATTAATTCAAAGAGCACATCCACAATCATCTTACTTTTCTCTTCACAGACTGTTTCAAAGTCTAGAGTCTTACCCTGATGCATCATTAACAGTCTCCAATTTAAGATTTACATCATGACAATCCTTTAGTCTTTGTAAACTATTCCTCTGTCACTGATCTCGAAAGTCCTTCAAGCAAGCCCTCCACCATTCCACCACACACTGTCTTCAGTGTTTTTCCTTATGTCCTCATGAACCATGTCTGTACACCCTTCTACCAGCCAGCTGTTCCTTGTCACCCTCTAGATAATGGCTAGGTGTCCTTGGCAAGAGGTGTCAAACCACTTGTCTCAATTTGTCAGCAACTCATCCAGAATACCCCAGAGGGTGATAACCCAATAAGGGGAGCCTCCAACCCAACCATCACTCAGCAAAGATCAGCTGCTGTGATGGACAGACTCCAGACCCAGACTTCCACTCCCTGGTGAAGTCAGACTGAGGTAAGGTCACTTGGATCATATTACATTACCATTGAGAGCAAGTAACAATGTCTTCAGCATCTACCAGTGAAAAATCCCTCCTTTTTTAAAAAAAAAAACAGTTTGAAGCTGCAAAATAGAGGACATCAAGCTGATGAAAGGTTTCAGTTCAATATACATTAGGGTAAGTTAAAAATGAATCCACAAAGGCCAACCTACTTAGGTTGTTCAAACCATGCCAAAGATCAGCTGATAGTTATCAATTTTCTGCCAACTATACTGGGTCCTTCAGGATGCATTCCCTTTTTGACACATATATTATGCTATATGTGTGAATAGAGATTTTGGCCATCATCCAGAAGAAGCTTTTCTATGTTAAGCAATACAGTGTGTTCAGCAGCTCCACGTCACTGGTCAAAGTACATGTGAATGGGGCTATAAACTGCAGTTGCTAATACAGTAGCAATGCTGGGCCAAATGTGAAGGAATGTTATCCACGACTTTCTCTAGTATTCCAAGCCACAATCTCCTGGAGGCTGCCAGAACCTCTGAGTCGAACAGCCACCAAATTTGGTAGTAATGAGATGACAGAGTCCCTGCTCAGCCAGGGTATGTGTTGATGTCTGTGCACTGCAGACACACAGACAGACAGAAAGACAGACCATTCCTTCCTCCATGGACAGATGTATGTACACACAATGCCTTGAGAGCAAGTCTTTAGATCATCATCATCTGGCACATTCAACAGAATGGAATGTGGAGATTTTTTTTTGTTCAGACATTCCTAGGTGATGTTGGCTTCTCTCCATCCAAAATGACTGCATTCCAAGACATCAGACAGAGAATAATGAGCCTTCAGGAGTTCCACCCTCAGTACCATGAACTGTGGCTCATACGATGTTAGGCCATACATGTCAACTGTCTGCACTATCAATTGTCATCACTGAAGTCTTTCGAAGTGTGACTTTTCTTCCCACAATTTTCTCTTTTCCTTCCATTTAGAAATTCACAACTATCCCACTGATGCAACTGATGAGAAGAAAATGGCTATTTTTATCTTATATGCCATTACTCCTTTTGTTTTGTGTCTTGCAAGAAATGCCCTCCTTCAAAACATAAATCCTCCTGAAGCTCCAATTAAGAGACATTTTGTTATCCTTTTCTGTCTCCCAGCTGTTCTCGTCATCTTGTCCTCGTGCTCTAAATCAAGCTGCATCCTCCTCTCAAAAGACCCCCCTACACCACCATCCTTTTCATCTTTTACAGCTCTCCCTGAGACGCAGTCTCCACTTTTCAACAGACCCAGCAGGGCGGACATTGCACCCCTACTGGGTCTGTGTGTTGACACTTCAGGACACACCATCCTCCAGGAAGTCTACCCTGCACCTGTGCTTAAAAAGTAACTCCACAGCCCAGATCATCGGAGCTAATTTTATCTTTGGAATTTAAATTTGGAATGAAGGCTGTCCTTGTGTGTATAATTCTAGAATGCTGAGCACTTATTACAAACAAATATCTCAAACCATTAGGTGCTTTTTCATTTGCACATACACGGCTTACAAGAAAAAATGGTTTCATGAAATGTTATTGTTCCAAAGTGAGAAAACAGCCCACATGGTTTTACACATGCATGGGAATTATTAAATCACTGAGAAAAAAAAAAGATGCCAACAGCAAATTTTGCTTGGGATGAAGTTTGCAAATTGTCACACATTTCTATTTGTTTGGCAGTTTTAAGCTGTTTAGCCAAAACTCCTCTCAGTTTGAAATTACAACTTATCTAGCTTGGCTTTTATTACGAACTTTTATGGTGTTATTCACTAATTGCAGGGAAACACAGCAATGGATTTAGGATTTTGTTTTTTTATTAATTGATCCATTTATCATAACAGTTATGCTACTGAAAGGCAAAGAGCTGTCCAGTCCTGAAATGATGAATAAAACATACCGCTGGTAATCTCTTCAGAAAGAATAGCTTGCAAGTTAGTGAAACGTAAAAAGGTTTATCTTTTTGTAATGATTTTAGCGAAGTCAAAAGTGAGCGTCCATGCATGTTGCTCTTACTATAGCATAATACAGACACAGCATGTGCGCTTCATGATTTTTTTTTTTTTGAAGCTAATTCCACAGCTCCTCATTCCCACACAATGCAACCATCATACTTGGAAAAGCCTCTTAAGGCCGACACTACTGTCGCCAAGCTCGTAACTCTGGCGGATCAGCCGTTTGGATGCCATGCTCAAGTTGACGTAGCTTTTGAATGATGTGGAGTCTGTGTGCCAGACCGACTCCTTTCCAGGGGGCTGAAGGCGGGGATATACAGACAAGGTGCAATTCATAGCAAGTCATGGACCAACTTCTCCTTCCACAAACTACTTTGAATAAAAACTATGACGGCCATTCATGTAACATTATAAAATTTAAGTTCTTTTTTTCACTTTGTTTCCAACAATACCACTCCCCTGAGTGATTTTAGTAAATAATTAAGAACGGATCAAGCATGCTGCTTTCCATTTTTGAGAGCCATCTTGGACTTTCTTTGGAATGTTGCTGCTATGCCAGCTATTTTCAAGGCTGGATTTTTAGCCTCGCTCCTTACCACTGCTTTAAACCACAGCACAGGAAAAGGTTATGTCTATGCTGCAATAACTTTGGCACAGTGCCCTACACTGATAGCTCAAAATAACTCATTTGTGATTGACAGCCAACTTGTTGGTTACTTGTGTTTTTTCCCAAAGCTTCCCAAGAAGCACTTATAGTCAAAAACTAACAATCAGAAGATAGCAAAACTAACTGCTAGTTTCTAGCCTTGAAATATTGATGTTTGTGTAAATAAAGCACTGAACAAACACTGAACAAAGCACTGATAAAGTAACAACAAACCAGCCTACTTGGAACAGCCTTTTCATTCCGACGCTGCTGTCTCCCATCTCGTAACTCTGTCGGATGAGCTTCTTGCTTTTGGAGCTGAGTTTTTTGTAATTTGTGAATCCTTCCGTGTCTGTTTGGTAGGTTGGTGTGAGGCCAGATGAGACCAGTTTTATTGAGCCTCCCGCACTTCCCCCTCCCCCAATGGAGGAGCTGTAGGACTGGCTCGATGAGCTTGCTCTAAACGTTGAAGCTGATGAAGATGCCATCTTGGATGCAACTTGTATACCGACAAGAAGAAAAAGCGATAGTTCTTCGGGTGTAGTAGAACAGGACTGTTGCCAGAGAGCAAATCTCCACTGCGGTTTACTCCACGATGAAGAAGAGTGTAAGCTGTCGTCTGAAGTGAGGAGCACAGCTCAGAGCACAAATTATTGCACAGAGGATGCCGACGGCTGCTGCAGCACAAGTGACGTGACTGGAACACCGGATATGGTAAGATTGCACTAGCTTGGGACCATCAAGTGGTATGTGGGTATACTCTATTTGTCGGTATAGGACCGCTGTACAGATGCTATGCCCTCAGGACAGGCAACTAATGAACTTGACTTCAACGTGCACACCATACACTTACTTAGAAAGACTGCAATGTTTAGAGAATGCGCAGCCCTTTTGCTTATTAGGATCCAGTAGGCACTGCCCGTCAATCATGTATGCAAATGAGCCAGGGAACCACAGACCAATCACAGGCTGTAGCAACAGCCCCAGCCCTTCCACTGACTCTGTGCTCACACTGGGACAATCTGAGCATATTTGGAATTGGAATGTGGCTGGTCTGTAAATGGCATCAGCCAGAGCAGGCGAGCCATCCACTCAAGCGGGCTACTTTGCATGCCGCGACCGTAACCCAACTCCCTGGTGGTAGGATTCTCCGCATCCTAGCCAAGTTTCTCCCTGCTCTTTGGAGATAACCAAAGCTGATTGCGCATGTCTGATGGCAGACCACAGAAATGTCTCAGACAGGTGAGCCTGCTATTCTCTTCATGCGCTGTCATTGTGACATCTTCCTTAAGAACAAACTGCAACAGGACATGGCTTCATCTGTGGCACAATTGCTAAGCCTGGAACTCACTGTCTGGATTCCAAAAGCACAAAGGACCTTATCCTCTTTTTTTCTATCTTTCTTTTTTTTTAAAGATGTGTCTGCAATAGCCTGTAAAAGCCTACACACTGAATCGTTTAAACTACAGCAATGGTACGTGTAGAAGTCATTCCTACAAAGACAACATCATCCAGCCTCCATTCCTACACTCATTCCTCAAATACCAAGACTATACCAGACCAAATCCGGAGAAAGATTCCCCATCATTGACTCATCTTTTTCAACTGTCTGACCTGACCAACCACCCATGAAAATGATTTCAACCGCACTAGTAAAACATAAGCTTACAGAAAAGACAGGCAAAATGTGTTCTGGGGAGCTATTCAGTTTTCCTTCCACTAAAGATCTTTTTAAACAAAGATCCTGCAACAGTTAAAAACGTTAAGACTACAACCGAACTCATACCAAAGTGAGCTCTGTTCTGATTTTTACTTAGGTGCATTGGAAGACAGCTTATTTATTTCAATGTTTTCACTTGGCGGCTGATATGCCATAATTTATTGTTCAAAAAGATTTCATGAAGTAGACAGGCAATTTAATGAGTACTATTTCACATTTGTGGGTAATCTTCACTTTTCACTCGGAAACAAAATGAAATTATTGCTTGAGCTAAAACAGCATCATTTATTCTTCACCTTGCTTTTGGAATAAAGTCTCTGACTTCGTCTCAACAACAGCAACATTCAAGGGCACATTACATGCTTCACTGAATCGAATAAAATGAATCGAATAAAATACACTACATCTATACCGCCATTACATAAGCCAAAAATAGGCACGCATGTTTACATGCTATGCAACTTCAGCAGTGAACAACTTGGAGTAAGTGTACCACTAATCTTAGCGATTTAGTCTGGCATACCAAGCACTTCTAAGATCAGGGAGAGGTCTTGTAACAAATGTCAAGTTTTGTAATTACAGCACCAGATGTTTTATTTAGTCTGAGTATTGCTGCTTAAAGGAGGCTGGAATTTGGATTGGTGCTCTTACAAGACAAGTACAATTTACGGGAACGAATTGAGTGCTGTGTGGATGGGTTCAATCACCTAATTAAGCAGTCATTAGCAGATTTAATGAGTATGACTGAATAACTAACCATGACATGGATCACATGCTCATATTGCAACATCACCATTTTGTGTTATCTGAGAAACAAATATTTGAATAAGGACAGAAGATGGAATTTGCATCCAACACTTTCATGTTGGAGATATATCTAAAAATCCCTCATTCGTGAATATTCCAGCATTTTGATTCATCTTTCTGTCAAGCCAATGCTCAAATTTATTTGTTCAAGGCAATACTCTGATGCATGCTGAGCCTACAGTAACTTTGTTATAGCCCAAGAAGCCATATATGGCCACCGAGCATTCTAACATGTCACCAAAATATAAATCTCTCTGGACTTTAATCTACTGCCTGTCCAGTCCAGGAATTTTTGGAGTGCCAAAAACTCAAGCAAAGGCCAGTCTTGTGCAAGGTCTTTATCAAATCTGAGTTAGGATTTCTGACAAATCACTTTCCTAGATACCAAAACTTAAAGGGGGCCTCTTCATACATTTTGGGTCGTATTGAAGGATGGCACCCCCCTTGCATCTTGCTTGAGACATTATTTGCCCACGAGAGTCGATTTAATTCAGACGGAAAGTAGATGACAAAGAGTCCCGCTCGTAATGATCCTTGCTCTTCAATACACTACACAGGAACTTGATCTGGTGAGCAACATCTTGACTTCGGTTCAAGTTAAAATGCTGTTTTCCCCAATCCTTTACAATTCATCCTTTTTAGGTGAGCGGGCCACATTTATGAGCCAAGTTTATGTCGAGTAGGTCAGTAAAGAGTTATTTAAGCCATCAACATAGAATGTCTGAGATACAAGCTTGAATGAGTTTGAAATCAGCTTTACTTATCATACATGAAATGAAAGGGAGCTGAATTATCAATAGATACCTCAGAAAACTTACTAAATGATGCATACAGCTAAGAAAAGCGAGTATCATAATGAGGCTCTTGAAGAATCTCATGTAATTAACTCTATACTTGGATTAAGGTCAAAGGTAAATCCTGTTGTGGCATGATAAGAATTCAGAAAGTCAAGCTTAATGATCTCTGGTGTTCACCGCGCTCTTCTAAGGATGTTATAAATGGATAGCATTGAGTTTTTTAAGTCTGGTGACTTATTGTTAGTGCCAGGTGCTATCATTTGTAAAGGTCAGATAGTAGACGTTGAATGATGTGACCCATGTCACTCAGGAGTCTCCGTATCCACAAAAATGCTTAGGAATTTTATTTCTTAATTTTTTTGGGGGGAGGGGGTCCTGGCAATATTTCACATGCCTGCCATCTGGATAGTCCAGTTCCAAAGTTTGTGCGAGTGTCTGAGGTATTCACCACAGGGCACTCATATTCAGTTCACAGCTGAACTGGTTGGAAAGAGCACGTTTTTCGACGTACAAATATAGCTTTGCAGGCGTGTTGGAATTATACACAGTTCCACAACCTGCAGCGATTCCAGACACATTCCTTTTCTTAGAAAGATAAAAAACAGAAAAAAGGCTCGAATTTTGCTCAATGCCAAAGAGAAATTAAATTCGTTCACAAGCTTGTTCAGCACTGCACATTTTTTCTGAAATCACAAAATCAAGCATCACCACCTTTAGAAATCTGCCATTTGTAGCAAAATAATTCTAGGCTTTTTGTGTGCATATAATAGCATGGATGTTTCAAATGTCCAGTTAATGTAGTGCAAGATGAAAATTCCCACTTTCACCATTTTGATCTCAGTGAAAATTCAATCTGAAATTGAATAGCGCAGCTGGGGAGTGTCCTTGTTCAATCTTGTGTCAGCTAATTTGCAAGCAGTTCAGCAATAACTGCTTGCAAATTAGCTGACACAAGATTCTCATATAGTAGGTTGAGCTGTACAGTAGGTCTCCAGTCATGCATTCTTAACATCACTTTTGTTTTCGTGTTCTCACATAAACTACTGGTGGGGCCAATTCAATCAGAAGGATTGAGTTTATCCCTCAGGTTTGTAATCCAATCTGGTTGCATTTAGGAAGAAATGCATTTCTGCAGCAGCATGAAATAATGCATTTTTTTCTCTACAATTCAGGCTTAACAAAACTTTGCAGTACTGCCCCCAAAATACTTTATGAAACATTTAATATGATTGCCATCAACAATCTCCTAGCTCTTTTTTCAAACAAAGGATAAGATTCATGAAAAACATGTACCTTCCATGATCGACAGATATCAATCTTATACTTTGCTCTCCTTACAACTGCTTTTTGCATGTACATGTACTTCCCTAGCTGTGTGAGAGTGCAAGTTTGAAAGAAACTTGCTGTTAACTGTTAACAGCTATGCCTATACTAATTCTGCCAATCCTTTAATACTCCTTTGCCTGTTACTCTGTGGATAACAGATCAGTGTTAATCCCTGTTTGGAGGATCACCCCCCCCCCCTTTGGAGGATTAACCTGTTAGGATTAACCCTGCTAGGAGGATTAACCCTGTTAATCTTCTTCAGTGCTTCATCAATGCAGATCATCTCTGACAGTTACTTTCAAATTCTTTTGATCAGCATGGATTTGAAAGCAAACATACTGCAATAAGGTTCTACAGAGGGTCTCCTTTGTTACTAATGGATCTACATGGGCCTTCTCTGCTGAAAAACTATGACTCAAAACTTCTTCTTTTTCATGAATATTCACAACGAATATTTATTCATGTGTGAATATTTAAGAAATATGTGTACATTTGCCTTCTACTAGTGATACTTCCATTTTTTAGCACTGAGAAAAAATTTTGCAAGTTGTTTTTTAAGCCCACAAACACAAGAATACACAGTTCATTAATACACTTCTGCAAAGAAGCATCACAGAATCACGACAGAATAAAGTCTTACAGCACAGACAAATTTCACATGTGATAAACAACAAGTAAACTGTACATATAAAATATGCATCTTAATAGAAATAGTGATTATGTTGATCTTTCGTACATTTCTAAACCACAACAAAATGGATAAAGAAAAGTTTAGTTTTGAATTTGGCATGAATTTGACCAGGTACATGTACTATAAAATAAATTGCACATCGTATGAACCGACAGGAAGCTAGCAAGTTCCACATTTGAGGAAAGGGAGGAATTTGTGGGAGGGGGGTTGACTTACCTGCAGTGTCTCTGCCTCCTGTTAAAGCAAAAAGGGTCAGGGAGGAACTAGGACAAGGGTGTAAGTAGGCATGGTTTGGATGTATTGAAACACCCAGTTATTAACTCTTTGCTAATATGCCACTTACAAGATATACAACTTGAGTTATAAGCTACAAAGGCAGCTGAAAGCTATGAAACATTAACTACAATCCCCATGATTTTGTAGCCTGTCTACCGCAAATTGACTGACTTCCTAACCTAGTAAATGCCTTTTGGATTATGACTGATAGTCATTTATGGGATTACAGTTTAGAGTTGTAAGTCATTATTTTTACAGAGGTATTGGAAACCTCTATCTATACCTCCAAGGCAAAGGAGTTCATGCTAAGTTTGAAATGAACTTATTTGGGAAAATCTTTTCATACTTTCGCAGAAAGAATTTCTTGCCATGCATTCACAAGTGCTTCCTCTTGCAAAAAATGCTACTAATCTAAGAGCAAGGAATCTCTTTAGTGTTCACATTTTAAGCTGTATTCAATTTTGTTAATAACTATGGATGGACAAACTGGTCTGTCAATTCAATCCAGTCTGACAATCCTCAATCAACTGAAAAGAAAATAGTTGTTCTTCAAATGCCAGTTCCAACGACATTACATTTGGGCAGCCAGTGTTTACAGACTCAAGGCCAGTAAAACAACTGAAGAGAGAACTCCTGACTCACATCAGGAGGGAACAACCCTCACCCTTATGCTTTTGATTAGTCAGCAAGAGATGAATATAGAAAGCAATGTCTAACCTGCAATTCCTTGATCTTCTTCTGTAGCTGTGCAACCAGGCTCTGTTCGTCCTCCAGTCTGCTGTTCAGCTGGCTGATGTCATAATCACGCCTGATCACACAGAAAAAGAACAGTTACTCACAGAAGGGCAAATGGAAAGAAATGGTGGAAATTATAAAGTGGCGCACTCTACAGTAGACCTCTATTTTTCTCTCACTATCATCCATGAATCCGACACTTAATAGGCTTCAGTCATCCTCAATTCCTTACACTATTTCTAAACGGACTGACCCATGGTCTTGGAATGCTGAAATGCTTGAAAATTCAACTTAGTACAAGCTGCTCAGGGAAAAAACACTAATCTGTTAAACAGCAAGATGTGATAAAATTTAACGGTAATGCCACAGTGGCTATCAACATTAGAACTTGTCTGGTTTTATTCTGCTAAGCAGGAAAGTTTTTAAGGCATGCCAAGACTCTGAGAAGCACATACTTCTTGATGGTCTCCTCCATGTCACGCTTAGCACGCTCCAAATCCTCCACTGTTTCCTGGGTCATCTTGAGGTCACCTTCCAGTTTCCTCTTGACCTTCTCAACATCAGCCCTGGCCTTCTTCTCATGCTCCAAGCTGTCCTCAAGCTGGAGGGGGGAGCAATGAAAGGTCAAATGACAGAATGGTTGATTTATAATATACTCGCGTAAAACTGCCAGAAAAGGAATAACTAGCCTTTCTTTGACAATGGAATAAATTTCTGTCTGATGTTGGTAGAGGCTATTATCTGCATATTCTATTTTTACCTTTTATTAAAAAAGAAATTGCCCAATTTAATTCGCTTTATAAGTTTGACGCGGCTTGCAATATATCGACCCCTCCCCAAAAGACATTGATAAAAATTCCTCCACTTGAAGTGTAAGTTTACCAATAGTCAGAGCCATGGCTCTGGCTTAGATATCTATACCTAAACAGATGTCATTTTCCTGATAACACGTCAGCTAATGCTTCGTGAATACAATAAGATGCCATATAGGACAAGTCACATCAGTGGATAAGATGTTATCTTAATTTCTTTGTTTAACTGACCTCATCCACAGTAGATTCCAGCTTGGCCTTGACTTTAGTCAGATGGTTGCATTTGTCTTCCTCGGCTTGAAGTTGCTCAAGAGTTTTCTGAATGGCAGAATTAAGACAAGATATAAAAACAAGAACTCTGCCTCAACCAATGTTCTATCGTCTAGGATCATGACTCGGTACAGAGGAGACAGAACAGTGTAAGATAAATACAGTGGGCCTGTGCAAGAATGGTGTAGGGCACTGTGTGGACTTCTCAAGCTAAAGCCGTGTTTCCACTGACTGTTTCTTCCGTTGCCACATGGAAACTTACCAGGACATTACTTTGTGTCAAAGTTTTTTTAACCATGACGGAACGTTTATTTGCTGTGCAAGACTAGGGGAATACATTCTCAGCACTGTGAAAATCACTTTTGACCTGAGTGGGATATGACAAAATCGGACAAATATGGTCACATCTGCCACCCCATACCCATAAGTGGCAATCGAACAAGATGTACACATACTTGTGTAGTTAGCTTTAGTTTGGGCACTCTTCACTGTCTATGCGCGCCATGTGCTGGTGTACACAAGGAGACTGGAACCAAACAACCATTCGGGCATGCGCCTGCTATCGAACTCTGCGTAGCGGTGAGCTGTCCAGTTCGGAGGTTTATAGCATGGTCATGGTAAATCTATATCGTGAAATTATTCTATAAAAGGTTCTAAAAAAGATCAAAGAGACTCCCAAACTCTCCATGGAGGGTCATGGTTCTTTTCAGAGCCTCATCAACTCACAAAAGCAATTTGCCACCTGGGGTGACTACAAACCAACATGTGCGAGCCAATAAAGGTGCTTTTTATCACCATCACTACTGGCACACGTTACTGAGGGCCGACCAAATGTACATGATACCTGAACAAGTCTTGGGGTAGACTTCTGCACACCAGAATAGTTGTTTAACACAATTTTAACGCCAGTGCATCGCATCAGTGCTTTTCAAGGACTGAGGTCAAGGTTTCATGGTACAATTTTTATAAAGTTGAAAACAATATGCGTGTCTCTTCATGTGTACCTGGTTGGTCTCCTCCAGAGAAGCCTTCTCCTTGCTCAGTTTAGCTATGACTTCATCCTGGGCAGCCAAGTCCTCGTTCAGCATCTTGATATGGCTGTCCTTGGCCTTCTTCTCCTCCTCCACCTAAGGGGAATGGGAAGATTGACCAATGAGGAAGGCAGATCCCACCCACTAATTGGGTGGAGATCTCTGGCCCTTTACCCTAGGGCATACCTGTGTGGGGGCTAGATCCTGACCACTCAGTGAGAGGCAAATGCGGGGTGTGCACTCTGGGAAATAAGGGCACTTGACCATACACACTGAATACCAAAATTATGAAGTACTGCTATGACCTCAATGGATGACACGGGATATGTTTACAAGGGAAATTCTGTCTGCTTTTTTGGAGAAATATCCATAGACCAACACCCTGAAGTATATGCAAAGAACTTGAGATAGCCAAGATCATCATTCTATGAAATACTATCCTGCCAAATCTTAACACTGACGGAACTACATCTTTCAACTAAAGCACAAAGATTAATGGGATCAGACATTAAAGTTGAGATATTATTACAAATTCTGCAAAGAAAAGATAAATCTAAGGACAAGACTAGCCCCACTGATAAACCAAAAAATGTAAATGAGAAAATTACAATCTTTAGCTACCATTGGGGGGATCTTCCGAAAACAATGAATAAAATTCACAGAAAGACTTAGCTATCCCTGGCTGCTGCACTGATACATCTACCATCTTGGTTGCAATGACCGTGTTACCATGTTGATCAGAAACACACAGAATACTGGGTTATACAGTCTTCAACAGGATCCTCTGACCAAAAGAGGGGCTCTTTCGTTTGCATTGGCAAAACGTATGATACATGGGAATGACAGTGAATGATGGAAAACATTTAAGATGTGTTAACAGCTAACAAGAAGTCCACTAATAACAGGAATGGACAAAACTGAGATAAAAGCTGAATTCAAACAGATCTGAATGAAAAGCAATGTCTGAATGAACCCATATTTAACGAGACGGTAATAGAATAGCGTGAAATAGTGAAATACACATGGATATTAACTGAAAAAAAGATGTAGAATTTTGGGGACTCAGCATGCAGTTGCTTCTTTGAAATTCTTACTTTTCAATAAGATAAAAATTAAGTAATACTTAAGCACCACAAACGTTAGAGCAACGTACAAAATAAACCTAACAGTAATTTGAACTATGTGACAAACATTTCCATTGACTTTTACATAAAAGATCTCCTTGATTTCAAGTTTAATACTACTATCTTTTCAACTGATATTTTTCAAATGAATTTATCTGAAATTAAGCAATGCACACATTTATATGAAGCACACTATTTTCTTTAAAGAAAGTAAGATTCAAGCACCAAGACTGTCAAACTCATTCTGTCAATCTGCACCCCACTGCATGCCATTCAAAGCTGCATCTCTGAATAAACGCTGCGTAATCCTACATGATACTTACACATGAGCACTTCAAACAGGTTTTATGCGCACTTCTTCATGCCGCTGTTTGAAGGCAGTTAGTTTCTTTCAATGAGATTAAGCAGATGTAAGCACTTTGGTGTGGCTTTTGTTTGGTTTCAAGCACAACTAGGTTTATGAAGGTCGTGAAAAGGATTGTTTTGGATGGGGCATTCAAATGGAGAGATACTATCTAGGGAACGATTATGGGAACTGAACCCTGTGATGTCCTCACATTGATGTATTTCAACCCTGTTTATTTTATTGTATATTGGCAAAATAATCACTAGGTTACCAGCATGGCAACTGGTACGCTCACAGTGTTAGAATAGGAATGTGTTTCTATAGACACTGTTGGACTGGAAACTACTAATATTCCACATGTGGATGGAAGGGGACAGCCGGGGAACAAGACATGCAATAGTTCCATGTGGATATGCAAACTGGTGACTTATACCATCTAACCCTGCCTGAGTTGTATTTGTTTCTTTGAGGAATGCGTTTGTCTTTTGTTGCAAAATTTCATCTATGTGGCAAAATAATCATAACTGGAACAAATAAAGTGTTTTTTATTACATTGTTCAATGCTCATTCACAAAATGAAGAGTTCTAGAATTTGAAAGGAAATGCACAGAGCCTTTGAGGTTAAAATGTAAAAAAAATAATTTTCCATTTAAAAACATTGTAATTTCTTGAAGAAAAACTAGGTTTGAAATTTACATATNCGCACTCACACAGTTTAAGATACGGGTAACATTCAAAGAAAAAATGGATGCAATGGAAAGAGCACCGTCATGAGGTCATTTCCTGTTCAGCCTATTATTCAGTATGTTTCAGCCAAATCACCACGGCAACTGGGGGCATCCATGCCATGCATGGCCTGGCTACAATGTTGCATGCTCACAGTCACAAAGATACTGTAATTGTCAACCAGAAGTCTGAGCTTTTCACTTTTAATCAGAGCCGTTAAATAGATGTAGCTTTGGTGTGCAAGTATCGTTATCCAAAACAAAAAGCTGATGTCCAAAGTTACAATGATGTAGTTTCATCATTCTCTATGAGGTAAAAAATTTACCTCATAGAATGTTCAAATCAGTCCTGCTTTTTGCAAGGCATGCTTTGAAATGTAAAATACGGGCTTCTGCATAGCATGAGAAATGGTTTTACTGGTATAATGAAGCTATACTGACAGATTTCATTCTGCATGCACTTTTTGAAATGTAAATGACTGAAGTTATTCAAACAAACCTGGGCAAAGTAGTCAACAATTATTAACATCCCTCCACAAGTGATGAATAAGTTTCATTCTTTTTGACCAATTCCCCAAAATGATGTCTTTTACCATCAGTGATTATCTGTCATCTGCATCACCTGTATCCTTCAACGTACACACCACTCAACTTATTCCCTCTGCCCATTAAACTAGGTTTACTCTACGTCTGTGACTGACTGCGAACAAGCAACACGGCAGCCCGGCCTAGCTGGTGGGCAGGACACGCACAGCAAGATGGTCAAGTGCACCAGTACCTTAGCCAGAGTGATCTCCAAGTCCTCGATGTCCTTCTTGAGCTCGTCGCACTCGGTCTCCAGCTTGCGCTTGGCGGCAGTGACGTCAGCGTTGGAATCCTCCTCTTCCTCCAGACGGGCCTGTAGCTCCTGGAGGCGGCAGGAGATGAGGGCATGATTGTGAGAGGGAGCACAACAGAGTATTGAGGGCCGAGAGATGTGTTGTCATCAGATGAGGTATGTGCAGGCATTTCCTCATCAATTCTTGAGAACTTTTCAATCGTAAGTGGATGTAAACTCATAACAATACAATGTTTTCTCTCAAGTATATTTGTTTGTGAAACCCTTATCCTTGGTATAAAAGCATTTTGTAAAGAATTCTTCAAATGTCTTTTGTGTTACTTGGACAAATGTAAAAGGGTTTATTTCAAAACCTGCAATCCAGCTTTAATTAGGCATGATGATTATATATGTCTTTCTGGGTTTTTTGCATGAACAGAGAATTAGCGACACTTTATCAGCAGGAGTGCATATCATAAGTCCGACACCTCATAAGTCTGATGCCTCAAAAGTCCGAATTTTCGGACTTACGAGACATCTGACTAATGAGGCATCGGATTTATGGGCAATTTTTGTTTTTGGCCTCACAGTTCCGATGCCTCAAAGGTCTGACACCTTATAAATCCGATAAGGTGTCGGATTTTCTATGTGTCAGATCTATAGGCCGAAATGAACTAATAAAGAATCGTCCGACCTAAGAGGCATCAGACTTACGAGCTGACCCCATCAGCAGCCTTTGGCAACAGTTGATCAGTCCATTTAAAAGCTGCATGCTGTGTCAAATTTTACCAATGATTGGATATATTTGTCGCTATGATAAGGAGTTCAGGCTTATACAAAGACTCCTATAGCTGGTTACTTACAGCAAGTTGGGTTTCTAGATCAACACGTTGGCTCATGACCTTGGACAGCTTGTCTTCCAGGTCAGCTGCATTGTCTTGCTCCTGTACAGCGGTCAAGGGAAAAAATTTGGTTGAACTATAGATTGCAACCACATCCGTCCATTTCTTCACTTCATAGTTTCTTTCAAGAACTGCATTGGGCTTGGCTGTTTTCTGTAACTGCCAGTGGTTCCTTTGGATTTTGGGGTTCAGCAAATCCCTCCAATTTGTTCCAGAATCTCGCATCTGCTTAGTTCTACTTTCAACTTCTTCTCTTCACTTCACTTATTTCAGCAATTTTGGTTATTAGCCTCATCACCATCCTGAATCTTTGCAAATGGCATGAGTTTGGTAAATATTGTCTAACCTATGTCACTTGAAGGGTGTTTATCTCCATGATACTGTCTTTCTGCCTTTTCTCATTCTCCTTCATACTTTTTGTTCACTTGTCCAGACACCATCCCTGCTTTTATAAACCATGTCTTTACCTGCTGTAGTTGCATGAAGATGTCATTCTTCTCTTTCAAGAGCTCAGAGTTCTTCTCCTCCAGTGCCTTCCTCTCTTTCTCCTCCTTCACGACTTTGTCCTTGGCCTTCTGCAGTTCCTCGTTTATGGCCTTCATTTCATCCTCAGCGCGTGCCACATTGAGCAGGGGCTTGACCTTGGTGTACAGACGCCACCAGCCCCAGTTGCGGAGTATGAGGTACTTGCGGATGTTACGCTGTAGGACAGCGAGACCAACTCTGTGGAGAGAACAGGAATAGTGGAAAGCAGGAGAGGGTTAAGGGTGTGATCGCAAGATTTCTGGAAAAAGCTTGACCTCAACTGGGCAGTTAGCTTAGTAGTACACATGCATGTGTGCTTAGCCTGGGACACATTTTGACTCCAGTAAATATACTCTGTGGACATGTGCTTAAAGTGTGTCAGTCCTGTATGATCTTTGTTACAGCTTGAACTGTTCAAATGGACTATTCAGCCATGTTTGTGTACGGACAGCCCTGTAAGTTCCATATGGACATTAGGGATGGCTAAAGCATCACAACGACAGACAGGACCATTCTGCTGTTTTGAAAGCAGTAATTAAGTTCAGACGGTTAATTTCCTTCAGCTAAAAGATGTGCTCACAATCACAATTGCTATTAGCACATAATTGTAAATTTTCTTTTCCGGAAGGCAAAGCAAGGGATGTGAAATCATACTTCTCCCACCTTACCGTCAAAAGCACATACACTGGCAGAACACTGATGTGGTACTTAGATCAGTGTTGTATTTGAGTCCATTACAAAGCCTTTCACAAGTCCAGTCACAAGTTCCTTCACAAGGCTAGTCATAAGTAGCAGAGTGAACAATAACAAAGGAATGCTTTTGTTACAGCTCATTTGAATAGCTTGTGGATTGGCTGAAGACGAAATGACTTGTGCTGGACTTACAGGGACTTGCAGGGACTTGTAACAGATTTGAATATAACACTGACTTAGATGGCTACATGTAGTTTGTCTACCAACCTCTGGTCTAAGATCTTCTTGTAGATTCTACGCATGAGGAAGCCACGGCAGACAGCCTGGAGAAGGGAAAGGATTCTAGCCAGGCGGGTATCACGCATGTCCTCAAGCTGACCCAGAACTCCAGCACGGAAAAACACCTACAGAAGGGGAATGAACATAAGACCTGATTTTAGATCCTCTTGAACTAAGTAGCATCTTATAAGTGGGATACTCCCTTCAAACTGGGACTTCGACCCACTGGCTCAAAGCAGCAAGTGCCTCAGTTATTACTGTAGGAAAGCTCCCCTCTAAAAATCATGTGGTATTTAAGCTAACAAACTATGGGCGAAGCACAATGTTGTAATCCAGACCGCTTAAGACCTTCACAAGACCACACAAGACCAACACAAGACCTCCAGTCTGAACTCCAGTCAAAAGTTATTTAAATGAACGGCAACAAAAGTATTCCTTTGTCATTGTTCACAATGTTACTTGTGTCTGGTCTTGTGATATTCTCGACTACAACACTGGGAAGAATTTGTTCTCTTTCAAACTCAGATGTCCATGTGATGCAACTCTGTCTCACTGAAACATTCTGTGCAACATTCGTTACCATCTTGCAATATTCCCTTACCAGCTGGCTACAAATTAATGATTCATGAGATGCTGTTCTTCATCAAAATGTGAGCAACCTCTACTTTTATCGAAGTATTTGGACACCATGTCTGTTACTTGAAAAAAAAACAGGGAATTACATCCTGTCCCAGCTTTGGAAAGTGCCAAATATCCTCTCAACTAACCTTGGTGTGGCCCATGCGGTACTCATTGGCTTCCAGTTCCAAGGACTTGAGCAGCAGATCACAGGCCTTGCGGCTGTCCATGAAACCCTGAGGTACAGCACTAGGAGCCAGGATCATGTATCTGGGTGAAATATGAGACAAGAATTTCACATTTAACATTTAGCACCGGAAGACTTTTTTGGAACAAACCTTGGGAGAACAAGGTGTTCGGCACTTTTACATTAGTGATGCATTAGTGTCTCTGGCTGGAACCAGTTAAGCAAATATCATGGATTCCATTTAGAAACATCTGAAGTCCCTGAACTCCCTCACCGATGGGAACAGTGTCATCCAACTTGATCAAGTGGTGCCCACTTGGGTTTCAAATATTCTGAGTTCTGAAAACTGGACATAGCTCTTGTGTGGGATTTTGACTAGACAGCATTCCCTTTTCTTGATGGTTTGACCAACCTCTGCTTGAAGTCAGAGAAGGGCATCCTGTTGGGGAATCCCTTGCGGCAGATACGGATGCCTTCCAGCACACCGTTACAGGCCAGCTGATGGAGGACCAAGTGGGCATCGATCACACCAGGCTTCTTGTTCTCATTGGGGATGATGCAGCGCACAAAGTGGGGCTTGGTGTTCATCAGGGTGGTCAGCAGACGGTTGAGTTGTTCCTGTGGGAAAGTGGTGGCAGTGGTGGGATAAATGTTGGCATGTGTCATAAGTGGGGTGCAGGTGGTTACACAAATGAACATGTACTTCAGCAATAGACCAAACCATGCTCATTCTGTATGTCATGTAAACCTTGACCAAGGCCATGCAATATTTCACCTGCTTGAGCCAACCAAAGCTCCTATCCTTCTGGGATGGTTTGATACACTGGATTTTTCTTTAAGCTGTAAACAGCATACAGTATGACCATAAAAATTCAACTTGTGTCCCTTAGGCATGACATATCAATTCAGTCCCTTTCTGCCCATGAAGCTCCTACAGCTTAAGTATAGCTTGGTCTGCATCTTGCTTTGATGATTCAGAACAGCAAATGTGAAATGTCACCCTTGTGGCAATCATGTTTGAAAGTGGAACAACAAAAGTATTGTAAAACATCACTTTTGTGGCAATTAATAGGTCTCTAAGTAATACACCTGTGATACTGCAAAAAGCAGCTGACAGTGATCAGAAATGAAGCACTATTGCAGTAATGTTAAGTTATATCTGCTACTGCCCATAACAACATTTGATACATGTCAGAGTAAGGAGGATTTTAGCTGCCTTAACTATTTAAAATTTAAAAGGTGAGAAGTTGAGCTGAACTTCTCAAAAGCATAATATTACAGTGGTTTTATAATTGCAGTACTGAATGAACATGTATACCCCAGCAGAATGCTTGCAATATTTGTTTTCAGTTGAACCTTCCACAAAAATCATGTTTTACAACTCCCTCAAAGGCACTACAAATATATGAAATGACAAGTTATTCTGAAAACATGAAGAAAGATATGCAAAGTCAAAGGGAATGTATTTTTATTGATGAGTTTGAAAAATTGTTGTGAAGTTGTCCCCACCGAGGCCTATGCTCAGATACGAATAACCAATCTGACAATAACATCATCAAGTGGTAATTACAAATTTTGCTATTTGGCATTGATATATGGAGGCATTTTTGCTGCAATTTGCTATTCCATGCATTGCAAGGCTTTTTTTTTCCAATTCATCATGCATTGTGGGGAAGTGTTTTTTGAGCTGCTCATTTCAGAAATTAGTCTACTTGCTTCCATCTTTCAGAGTCTATTAGCTTAAGCTATTGTTATTAGTTTTGGGGTGCTGATTATTTCATGCAAATTTCATTGCTATCGCAAAGCCAAAAATTGACCCTTTTATACTTATTTTTAAACACATTTGGCCGATAATCTTATATCTTCTGTTAACATCAACGGGAACCCTATAAGACTCTTGAGCAGAATTGGATGAATGTGATGACAAAAATCACAAACAGAAACTGGAAAATGATGCTCAGAGTGAAATCTCAACATTCATTTTGTAATAACTACAGTAACACTCATGGAAGGGAAAAATTTCCCAACACCGCAATATTTCTCAACACCAACGCTGCGATTTAAAAAAATGATCCTCGTGTACAATTCACTTCACTTTTCTAAATCTCAAAAACATTCTTTAAGAAAGCAAAAAGGCAAAATGTGTAAAGAAAAAAGGGAAAACATACTGCTATAGCCAATTTTGAATCACGGTTTTGATTTTAAAAAAGGCTTTTTTAGCACAAAGACCTTAGCCACAGAGAGATGACAAACAAAAGAAGAGTATATATATATCTTGTTCCTGTCATCTACTGAACTGTCTTTTCTTAAAATTCTCTCCAAAGTGTATAAGCTAAAAATGACATGCAAGAATTGCAAGCAAAAAAAGAATTTTTTTTTTCACAAAAAAGATAAACAAAAAGTTGGTTGCATGCAAGGAAGAGAGAGATATTGAGGAGCCAAAAGCAGCTCATGCAAACCCTGTGGCCACCGCTAATGGTCTTGATGTTCTGCTTCTTGCCCGGTGCTCCTGCATAATAGAATAGGAAGATGGTACAACAAGCAAGACACCAGTGTGAGCTTCAGCCATTTATTGGTAGTAGCGCAGCCTGGCAAAGTGTGTGTGTTGGGGGAATCTCTCAGAGCTGAAGTAAGAAATTTATGCTCGGCAGAGTTTGTGAGTAAAACTGAGTGGTTGCATGATACAGTGCGCACGGTTTGTAATTTTGTATCGGTTTCAAAAACCAAGGCAAAATTTGTGCTGATTAAGTTTCTTCCTGGCTTGTCGCAATGCCGAAGTCCATCAACCAGTATGTTTGGTTGGCATAATCAGAATATGGTATTTAGGACACTCTCCTGAGCAATCATTCCTGTGAATCAGCTCCTTAAAACTTCCTCCCATGTACCGGTATTAAAGGGTGAGAGTCCAGTTGTTCCAAACATCAGATACAGTCTTCAGACTCTTTTACCGTCAATTTGTAAATGTCAGAGTCTTAGGCTTTTGTATCTGACATCTGGCTGGAAAGAGAGGTTCAGGCAACTAAAGGGGAGAAAGATGCAGTGAGAAGATGCACTAGATCAGGAAGCCAGTGAGGGTAGACTGATTGCAGGCCACGTGCTGATGCCGACGAAGGGTGCATGTGTGGATGTCTGTATATACCATACCCTGTGGAGAGCAGATACGGTCTGGAAAGAACCACCCTTCTTACGTCCAACTCCTGCCATTGGGGGTCAAAGTCAAATGAAAGGAAGGGGAAAGAAGCACAAAAAAAGATACAGTGATACTAACGTCAGATAAGATCACATGCACGAAAACCTGTTAATCTCAAGCTAGCCAGTCTTTAACCCCAACATACATAATACATATTGGAGATTCTTATATTCGTTTAACTTTACCTCGTTGTAAATGACTGTGGTTAAGGTGTTACGTAAAAACCACTAAAAACACAATTTACTTATTTTTACAGTTGTATTTAGGATGGACAGAAATGGTAAAAGTGACAGAAGAGAGTCCTACAGAATTCCCCCTAATTTCTCATCAAAGGATAAATGATGTAATGATGTGTCCTGTTCAGAAGGGGGAGGGAACATGTGACTCTATGAAATTTGTCTAGTTGAAATTTTTCAATCTGCCAACTTCCCCATCAAGCACTGGAAAAAAATCCCTCAAATTTCCAGCCTATCTAAGGTGAAATATTTGTAATCGGATGATTTTCAGGTTGTGAATAAGTTTCAGAATATGCTATGCTTTACGCATTTTTGGAGACTGGCTAGCAACAATGATCGCAGACAATGTCAGCTGTAACAACAGTAAAACAAAAGTGAACTTGACACAGTTTATAGACCTTTCTCTGATTGCCTATTACAGCAGCCAAAGTTTGCAGAAAGTTCACCCCAGACTAGTTAACACGTCTGCCTCAAAATGCTCATTTGCCCCATCGATGTTCGACAGAGGAAGTCTCATTTTAAGTAGTTTTAATACCTCAGAAAGTTTCCCTATTCAATGTGACCCGTGCATTATCATTTGACAGTGTCCACTGCATAAAAACGTGCTGGCACCTGGATACGAGACAATTTAATCCATTTCTATCTGCAGCACCCAAAAACCCCCGGCTACACATGTGCCAAGTCCATATAAAGAGATTATTCTGGACTACTTGCACAAGGAAGGTACCTATTTTATTATACGAATATACCTGTACATATAATGAATGTTATCGTTTTGGAAATAAACTGTCTTATATTGTTCTTTGCCAATCACTGGAAAGCAAAAACTACGACCATAAGATAGCAAGAGAGAAAGGCCTATCTGAGCAAACCGAGCTAGAATGTGGTCACAATGAATCGGAAATCTGACCACGAGAAACATACTGTTAAGATGGATAAGGTGAACAGGAGGAAATAATGAAGACCTTTAAACTTTTCAAACTAATTGAAAAGGGGTTGCAAAAAGATGACAAAAAAGAACAATGGAAAACGACTGATTTCAGCAAAACTGGCTTCAAAATATCCATGCAGAATTGAACACGTAGTGGAAAAATTCATAATGTGTTAATTCACACAAGTTTGCAACATGTTGTTACTAAAAAGATACATGTACCACTGAACAAAGGCTTCCAAGAATTTTGGATTTTGTAAGTTTTTAAGTCACTGCTGTTTGAAAGCAATAACGATTGCACAGTTACCTTGAATGACACTTTTCACATGCATTTTTAATTCTGTTTAGACAGAATAACGCAAACACCTTACAGATTCAACAATTCATAAAAAGTGACACTGAGAAGCTTTGCTTGGTCTACTAATGTGAGTTCGTGAAATACAAAAATGACAGGTATCACAAAGTGCAAAGTCAGTGAACAGAGAGAAAAGTGATGTCAACCAGTAAAACAGAGTTAAATCTAATGAAGAAAAAGATGTTCATATTTCATTGCCGAAGAGGTTGTGCAGGCTCAGCAAAAACTGTTGTGGTTGTGAATAAACATTTCAGATACCACATTGCACAAGGATAGTAATCATTTCAAATCAACAAAAACATTTACATATAAATTTGGGCAAGAACTCACACTTGCTTTCCAACAACTCACATTAATTAATAAGTCCTACGTATCTGTTTCAAATGGGTAGACCCAGACTAGGCCAGAATCGTAGCTCACACGGAAATACTGCATAATTTGACCTGATGGGTACTCGTGTAGTTCATACAAAAAAACTTAAGAAACTTGAATTTGCAATCTGATATCACAATACTTCATTCATGGGGGAGAGCAAAACTCTCACGGTCTTGTCACCATCACGTGCCAGTCCAATTTTTTGGGTCTTTAAATTCATTGTTTACCTGGTACCAGTGAGGACCTGTGCACAGGTCTAATATATACTAGCACACTGAACTGTTCGGTTGCCTATGTGAAGTACGCACGCATGACCATCTCTGTCACTATACCACATGCATATTGTACATGAACAGATGTCAACACATGTACTTTCCCTTGATTCTGAAATTTGTATGGCAAGTGAACATCTCGGAGGTATGGTGAAACAGATATATCATACTAGATTTTATATTTTTTTTGGGGGGGGGAGTTTTTGCCACAGGAACTAGTTTGACAACTTCCAACACATCAGGGAGCTAATCTACTATCGGTTATCCACCCTGAAACCAAGTATGATTTTTATGCTGTGAAATGATAAAATATTCTGCAGGAAAGGGGAAGTTTTCCATATAAGCTACATTAATAACCTTACCTGTGGCAGCTTCAATAAAGAGAGACTGAAGTAGATGCATGGTTGACTTGCGGAAGAGCTCAACAACTGCCTCATTCAGAGGATCCTTGTTCTTGTCCAGCCAGAAGTCCACATTGTAGCCAACCTATGACAGGGAACCATGCATATGGGAGATGATAAAGATGCTGGGACTTCAGAAAAGGTTCTCCCACAACTGTGAATATTAACTTGTATTTTTCCTGAATTTGGTGTGTCAATCTGATGTTGTAAATCCTGACCCCAGGCCACTTTGTTCCTTTTTCAAGTATTATTTTGAAGCAAAAGAATACTTATTGAGCAGACACGAGGTAGAAGCATCCAGTTCAGGAAAAGGAAATACTGATTTTTCTCCTAAATTTTAGTTGTAGAACAGTTTAACAGTTTTAAAGCACCATGAAAACCTTCAACCCTTACAACATGGACATTACCACCAACGGAGCTATAAACACTAATATTGGCAGTCTCCTAATTTGGAAGTAGTTTTTGTTTTAATGCTGCTTATAACAAGCCAAAAAAAAAAAAAACCTAGTCTTGATCACCAAGACATTTCCCAACACCAGACTTGGTAGCTTGATCGAGCAAGTGCCAGCACACTATATGCTTATACATATAGGTCTTCCTTTCAAATCTGAATCCAGTCATCAGTTGTCTGTGTTAAGTCATATTATAAATCGATACTGAACTGAATCAAATTGCTTCAATGATTCATGATGATTTTCACAGAGCAAGGATGATTGTTCCCTGTTGTTATCCCCTGTTTGTACAAGCCCAGTAAGCGGTAGTATTTTGCATCTGATCCACCTCAAATACAGTGGGAGACCATTCCATCTCACTCCCTGTCTGATGAACACGAAAAACCACTGTCAACAGTTGCTCGTAACATTTCAAGCTTATTACATCTGACTTACTGTGCCAGCGTAATGATGGATCTCAAAGTGGAATTCCCTCCCACTCTTGCTCCTATTCTTGCCGACGGCGGGTATACCAAAAACAGTGGGCTTGTCAGAGTTGTTCTTGACTAGCTTTTCCAGGAAGGTCTTGTCGGTGGCCTTGGGGAACATGCATTCCTCCTCCAACACCATGAAGACACCCATGGGCTGGAGAAGGGATGAAGGGGAGAGGAAGAGAAAAACATTTAATCTGTAAAGGAAGGGATGTCTTCAATGCCTATTATTTCTATTTTACTTAACATTTTTTGGGCATTATATTTCTTTTGGTGCATGTTTTTCTTTTTAAGCAAAGATCTTCCCATAAATTTTTTATTTCAGATCATTTTTAAGGGGGGATACACGCTATTTCCCATTTTAATTGTTCTCTCAAACTTTATATTAGCTTCTATCTAGCCTTAGCCTAGAAGAGATAGGATATACAGGGTAAGCATATTGATTAAGAACAGCCTATATTTTGGTTGGAAATACAGTGATAAAATGATGTGCTCGATTTGAAATATGTAACTACAACTGTGAGACAATCAGAAGTTTATTCTTGATTGCACTTTTCCAATATCTCTCATTATGACCTTTGCTGGAAGTTCTTATTGTACAGATCAGGAAAGCCACCATGATGAGTCATTTTAGGGAGGTGATCACCATGCATAATTGCAAACAGCAGACTGGGAAACATAGGGAATGCACTCTAAACACCCAAATATTCAGTACTGTGGTAGTTTTTCATGGCGACACCAGCTGTAAACTGTCGCAATCACTATCAGACTCACTCCTTCAATGAGGGTGATGGTATCCTGCAGATCTAGACCAAAGTCAATGAAGTCCCACTGGATGCCTTCCCTCTTGTACTCCTCCTGTTCCAGGACAAACATGTGGTGGTTGAAGAACTGCTGCAGCTTCTCGTTGGTCAGGTTGATGCAGATCTGCTCAAACGAGTTGAACTGTGCATCCAGACAAAAAGAAAACAGAGGAATTTATTCAGGAACAAGTTTGCTACTACAAATACTTCGAATCTCATTCTTCATGACATTCTTTTTGTTCAAGTTTACAACGAAAAAGAAACCAAGCAAAAAAAATACCATATTTCTGGGATTTGGATCATAAGTACAGCTCCGAAACTGAATTCTCTCCAAAATGTTCACAAACTTCATATGCACTATGAAGTTTTTTTTTATAAACCTGGCAGTAAATTACAGGACACAAATAACACTTATGCCTGGAAAGTGCCCCCTCCCTCCAAAAAGGTAAGAATTCACTCTCTGAAAGCTTTACACAACAAGTACCTCTTTCTAAACCACTTACGTCAAAGATCTCAAAGCCAGCAATGTCCAAGACACCGATGAAGTACTGTTTAGTTGCCTTGGTATCCAGAGTCTTATTGACACGTGCAACAAGGGAGCGGAACATGCGGTCATAGATTGCCTTGCAAAGGGCACCAACAGAGTAGATCACCTGGGAAAAAAAGAGCGTCAAAGTTGCACATTAAGAGCTTTGAATTTGTCTCAGGAACACCACAGGCCTGCTGATCAGGGGCAATAATAGGACATGAATCACTCTGATCTTCTCTAACTCACCTGTTCCTTGGTTCTTCCCTGCTGCACATACTCACTGCCAACCTTGATGCGGGGTCGCAGTAGGTTTTTTACCAAGTCAGCAGAGTTCAGACCCAGCAAGAAGGCAACCTTGTCAGCAGCTACAAGGAATAATAAATCAGGGTCATTATGGAAAAAGGTTTCGATGGATGTCTCTAAGTGGATCTGGCTATCCTGTTTTTTTCTTCCCCACTGTTTTTTGTATAAAAGCCTGAAAAGAAGTTAACAGTTGTTACATGAGGACAAAATGACATTCCCCAACGTTAGCTGTCTCTCTACCTTCAGCAAACTGTTACTATCATAGAGAGTCTACCTACAAATATTGAGCATCTTCATGCAGCCCTGCATGAAATTGTGTCAAATAGTGTGGAGGGTAAAAAATACCTCCGTCTCCCTGCCCTGAATTTGTTTTTTCCTGTGACACGTTTCAACTCTTACTGTCAGTGGATTCAATTTCAGCTTGTTCCTCCCTTGGCCTCTGCTTCCACTTGATATTGCCGAAGTGCATGATACCGGCTGTCAGCTGATACAAGGACAACTTCTCTTCCTCCTCAAAGCCCAAGATGTTCAAAGCGTCCTGGAACGTGGCAAAGAAACCCAAATTCCGAGAGGGAATTAGCACATCAGGTGCTAAGTAAGAAACCACCGGCTCAACTTCTGTGTGGACTTTACAGGCTTGACTTACAACAATGTTAACAGTGTGGCTATATACAAGAGTATCTTCCTTCAACAAAGATGTGGAGAAAATAAAAATCAGAAAACATTATATATGTTTCTTATCAATCAAAAGACACGCATACAGCAAACGCAAGATAATTAATCAAGCGTGCTTTAAAAAATCAACCAGGCCCTTGCCGCCCCAGAAGGAGACATCAGAGGTTTCTTACATCGGTGATCTTCATCTCCTCTTTGTCATCTACATTGTCGATCTCAGTCTTTCCCTGGCTGATGTATATGTAGTCTGTGGCCTTGCCAGTCAGCAGAAGTTTCTCTGCATGAAGAGAAATGGAAATCTACATCGTGAGGAACTCCGGCTACTGGCCTCCTTCATCTTGTTGATGATCAGAAAGTGTTGAATATTAGTGGGGAAATTCACTTGTCACCTCATGACCACAATGTTGCTGGTTTAAGAGAGTATCTACCAGTAAATAGGGGCTGATGCTGTGCAATTGGGAACACTCCTGTTTTAAATTCAAAGTAGCTTTAACAGTCGTAAGATGATATACCCTTTTTCAACTTTGGTTGAGTGCTGAAGTTAAGTGGTAACATTCACATAATTAAGTGAGCAATGCCTTGATTTAAAGAAGTTGTATCAAAAATTGGGCTGATGTGTTTCATGTGAAACACTCATTTTGAACGAAGCGCCAATGTGTACAGCATTCATATCCATCTGGTAATGTTAGTCGTTTTCACACTGTTCCTGTGCTAGCCTTGTGTTCCTGACCTGACCAGGTAGCCACTCGGGCAGCATTCCCACTGCATGTTAAGCAGCATTTGAGCAGCTTCCTACTGTAAAGAAATCAATGACTTACCATTGAGACCGGAGATTTGCCCAGAGAGGAGTTGGTAGAAGATGTGGTAGCTTCTCTCCAGAGGTTGCTGGAAGATCACACGAGATTTCTCCAGCAAATCTGTTATAAGCAAATATCACTTACTGAATATCCTTGGTGAGGGTTAAGGGTATGAAGATGTGGATGCAATCCAGATACATCGTGGTAAAAAAATTAAAAATAAAAAAAAATTCTGGATATACTGGGCACAGGTATTTCACATACTTCAACGTGAAAGTGAAGACAGATGCAAATTTGTGACATGATGGCAAATTCTCGTATCTAAGAATGTCCTGTGACATCAAATTTGTTCATGTGAAAAAAGAAATCATCCTTGATATTGGGATGATTTATTTTTATTTTTCGAATATTACACAATATTTGTCTTTTTTTTTTTCAATTTTGTGCACACACCGAGTGGTTTACATTTAACGTCATCAGAGAAAAGACAATGTAGCCTCCTCCATAGCTACCTCACACTCCCTGTTTCTGCACTAATAGGCAAAAAAATACAACCAAAGACATGAAACTCACAAGTCTCAATGTCTGCTCCTGCCAGCTTGCCCGTTGTACCAAAGTGGATTCGGATGAATTTACCCTGTATTCATCCATGGAAAATAAATCAGACATTATTTGAAATACCAAAAAGGAAACTGTGCCAATTTTATGCATCCTTCACAACATGATCAAAAATATTAATAATACATAATTACTACAAAGACTTGAATTATCTCTTCAGACTACTTCAGTGAAAATTAAGAATAATCAGTATCTCTATCATCTATGGAAGTAGACTAAATCACATCTACGGTATTTGTGATTCTTCAGCAAGACTACTACACACTGTTATGGTAAAACAAATCATTTTCCAAATGAGGAAAATGATGAGTGATTCTAACACGGCAATCCATTACCACAGCACAAATGAAGGCAGTGGCCCCTCATTGTTCATTACTTACAAAACGTGAGGAGTTGTCATTACGGATCGTCTTGGCATTTCCGAAGGCCTCCAGAGGGGGGTTGGCCTGGATGACTTGATCTTCCAAGTTACCCTAGTACAGCATTGCGGGTTGTTTTTGGGACAGTGAATATTCATATTATGCAAATAAAGGCAGTGATGAGATATAAGATAACGGGAAAAATGAAGTAAGGATTTGAAGTTATGTCACATGGAAAGAAATAGAGAGGAAAGACAAGTTTTCACACAAAATCAACAAACAGTGAACAGCAGATACAAGAACATGTAGAGAGAACAAGGAATAAATGTCTTTTTAAAACTTATGTAACTCACTGAGGTGACGTCTCCTAGAAAGGAATTGATGCATTTCATAACTGACTTCTGGCATCATGGCACGACCTCTGACCTAGAGTTGCAACCTTTAAATTCTAATGGTCACATCCAGCCAAAGTGGAGGCACATACCACCTCTATAAAGTGCTGCAGATTGCTTTAAGGAAGGTGTTCCCTGAGCCTGAACTATAATTATTCCTAAATTTTTCTTTTCAAGCATTTCATCTCCATGAATTTGAAAAGAAATTATTTGTTTTATACTATAAGATCTCTTTTATGTCTTACGTGATTATCAATTTGAATGAATTCATAATCACACTTGTGCAATAAAATTATAAATTATGATTAAAAGTTCTGTAATTGATTTAGTGATGTGCAAGTCTTAAGTCAGGCTGATTTATTTACACCAGGGCAGAAGAAATAATTGTATCCATTCCGACTTCCTGAAGTTTGCTTAGTCCATACAAGCTACAATGGTTTGTCTCTCAAGCCTGAAAATTTCAACCTTATTTTATTTCTTCTCAGAAGTGTCCTGGAATGTTTACAGCAATGCATCAAAAGATTTAGCAGCTCTCAAGACTTACTCTGTGAAGATCTAAAAAGAAAACATACAGTACACCTCAGACGGAAAGAGACCACATGAGATTGTCAACAATTACTAATTGAGTCAAACGTTGCAAGGAACTGCGCATGGTGATGAAGATTGTTTAACGGGATATGGGTGCCAGAGTGAGTGGAGATAGAATGTTTGGAATGTAGGAGACTTTAATACTGAAAGCATCCCCTCCAAATTGTTTGCCAGCGTAGGCTTTATTTCAAGCAATAACAAATGATATTTACTTGTCTCTAAATTCCAGGGAATAGATCTTTTGAAATCAAACTATAACCAGTAGCGCAGAAGATAGTACATGCATCCCACATTAATTTCCTGACCGGATTGGTTTGTGAAGTTTACAGAACCAAAATGAGTACTGTGTTCATAGTTTTGGGTAATATCTTAGGAATGGGAACCCTTGACACTTGTTGGCTGGATAACATATGAGGGTGCCCAACCCCTTTACATTACAGGTGGAAGCAGATGGATATAGACACGATACTGATATATGTATTGCTTTTGAGTCTTTGTATTATTATGATCAGCGTTAACTCTTCTCAACTCTCTTGATCAAGAAAACGTGTGAGCTAGAACATAACCCTCAAAAAGCCGGGTTATTTGGCCGATCTCACAGTGTGGCAGGGATTCTGCCCCCCCCCAGCTTTTTTAGAGTTAAGTTAGACTGGGAGACTGCTCTGTCTCTTGTGAGGTGAGGCATTTTCCCAACTGAATGAATATTGCTGCTGTTTACGTGGAATACTACACTGACCGGGCTGCACATGAAAAATACCCTATGTGTATCAAGAATGCGTTGTTTCTATGCAGCTGCTTTGCAAAGGAGGTTGCCAAATGTACATGTACAAGGGTGCTTACATCAACGGTCCCTCAACAGTTATCCAAGCAGGGCCCCATTTTGCAAACTAACACCCAGAACGTACCAACATCACCATAAGCGCACACTGAGAACGAGACAAGAAGGCACCTTGCATGACCCCTGACCCACCAACAAATACAACAAACACAATGAATGAGAAAAAACAAAGGGGCGGGTCAGCAGTGATGCGAGGTTTTCCAGGCTTCAACTATTGCCAACAAGATAGTGGGTCACAGATTTTGGTGGCAGAGGGTTTTTCATCATGGCAAATGACTATTATGCATAATTTTGTTGCTGTTGCAGGAAATGCAGAAAGGGAAATGTGAGGAGATCAGAATTTTATGCAAGGATTCAAAGGAGTATACAGTCAAGGTTTCTTTCTCAAGTACCGTATGCTTTTAACAAAAGCTGGGTTTTTGTTACTCCATTTGGTCTTTTGAGAAGTTTAAGATGCAAGCTGGAGGAATGTTAGAAGCTATCTACTTGCAAAGTTTAGTAAATGTTAGAACCTCTAATTTGATTAAACGACCTGAACATTTTCAACTTCTAGAAAAAATAACAATATCACTTTCAACAGCATAAACATTCACAAATGAAATGTGTAGTCCTTTTCACTCACCCAATGAAAATCTACTGGGGGTTATCTTTCAACAACTAATTTGAATGTTTTTCAAACAAAACATTCTTCACACTTGACAAAAATTTTCAATAAAAATAGGGAAAGGAACAATTATAGCCTTTTGAGCAATAAAAGACTTCTAATTTTGATATTAAATTTAGGTTAATTTCAAAACTTGTTTTAAATCAATGTCATTTGCAAAACAGATCACAGTTGAAAAACAAACACGCACATACCGGAGGACCAAAGTTATTCAGTCGATTTCACGGAAAATCCATGGAAAAACTATAACAGAAGTTATGGACGGAAGAACATGTGTTGAAAAAAATGAACAAATTCCGTTGCTTTACACACTAGAATTGAATTATGATGCATGGCATAATTTTAATGTGTTAGATGTTAGACCACTGCTAGGGATGTTAAGCATGCACTACTTGAAGGATAAAATGAGTCACTAACGCAACCTTTGTTTGCATCTTGTTTCCTTGGCAGGAAGTCATTCTTTACAGTTTTTCAGGAATGGGTTCATTTTTTTGTCTGTCACTTCATTCCTTTGTCTGCATATCAAGCAAATGCATGTTGGTACAGGATTCAATTTCTGGAGTTTGTAGTTTGTCTTCAAACTCGGATAAATAAAATATCGTGCAAGGAAGAAAAAAAAGTAAACATCGGGTATGGGAGAAATGGCACAGGAGGTGGAGGAGGCCAGGCAGCCTGGGTGTGTGCAGTGCTGCTCTTATACTACTGCCCCGTCACTGTGACCTAGCATCTCGTGGCTTGTTCAGAAGCAAACTACCTTCTTCCCTTCCTCAGAGGCCCCTTTGCCCGCTGAAGAACTAGCAATGTTGGCAAAATACTGGATGACTTTTTTGGTGTTTTCCGTCTTTCCTGCACCGGACTCTCCGCTGTAAAGATGAGCAGTATAAAAATTCACAATTAAAGGGTATTAGTTGAGAGAATTTTTAGGGATTGTTTTTCTTTTTTTCAAAAAGGGATTATTCACAATCACACCGTTGTCAGTTAACAGCAGAGAGTCCACTACAACACAAAAATGAAAATTTGTATTAAATCAAAGTGTTTAAGGGAGAATTTAGTATTGCCACACCTACGATTATTTTTAGGATTATGTTCAGATAAAATGATGAACTATATGTCTGCTTACAAACCTATCTAAGTCACATTCTCACAGCACTCAATTAACGGAGGGATAAAAAGTTCATAGAGTACAACAACCGAATAAGTAACAAAAGTGAGGTACTGGTCAAATTCTCCAATGTATGGAAACTCAATCTACAAGATGGTTTTTAAGCCTATATGCCTATGGATGTTCTATATAGACTGTGATCAAGGTGTTTTCTCTTTTTCTTCATTTTTATATGATCTGTCGAGTAGTGATGCTTATGAGATGCCTGGACTTGAAAAACTCTAGAAGTTAGAAGAGATGCAAGAAATCGGTTATTAGTCAGAAACAATACAACGTACAACTGCAATGTTAAAATAACCACTGAATAGATACAGTCAAACAACTTGTTGATTGCACCACAAAGTGTCATATCAAAATAGTGCAATAGAATTTTTGCAACCGACACAGCACTTTGTGTTACAATCAATAAAATGTAGATCCCTGATTTTTATATTTTGATATGTGTCTATTTAAATAGACTTTTATGCACATTTTTAAAAGAGACTGCAGGGGGTAAATGGCAAACTCTTTCAAACCCCTGCAAGTTTTTGTCAAGACTCAACGAGTAAGCTTCAATATCACCAAAAATATCTTCATCATATAATGTACATATATCTTTAAAATTGGATGACACAACACAATTTGGTAATGATGAATGCGGGGAAAATGCATGCAAATGAAGTTTTCACCACCATCAAAAAAAACAAAAACAAAATTCACTACCAATCAGTCACACTCTGTTATTCATAGGAGAAACTTACGTGATCAACATGGACTGGTTCTCATGATCTGGAGGAAAAGTGAAAGTTGAAAGGAGAAAGGCGTAGTAAAGGTTGGATTTCAACACACCTAATTACAAACAGACCATGCCTTTAACTTTATCAAATGCCAACTTTTCCAATTTCATTTTCCAAGTCGCATGTTTATAAGAAGTCATATCAATATAAAAATAAACACTGATTGTTATATTTTAGGGATTTGTGAAATGGTCCTCCCTAAACCTCATGGTACGGATCACATTTACCCATAACAACTTGCTGACCCATTTTGAGTAACACACAAACTTAATCTGTCTATACTACAGACACAGTGAATGATGGGGTGGTTTTGTTGCACTGAACTTTTTACCAAATCATTTACGTTTTGGCGGCTGAGATACTCTTTCCATTCTCTTTGGGAAAAATAACCCTGTTTCCAAACACACAGCGTTCTTTTCAGTTCATGAGTCATCACATAATCATGCGCGACATATATTTTCCTTGGCAGACAGTTTAATGGGCATGACATTTTCCTGCACAGCAGGCCAGTATACCAACTTACAACATAATTGGACTTCCCAATAAAGCGAAGGGAACTGTGGTCGTAAACATATCAAGATAACAGTGTACCAATGTGAGTATTGGGAGGATAGGTGGAAAATTACAAGTAACCTTACATGTTGTTTTCATCATAAATTATGTGGTAGCAAAGTGTATCATTTGAAAACTAGTTTGCAGAAACTCCCATGCAAGAACAGACCTCCTGTCCTACAGTCTTGTTAATGTTGAATTTGAAACAGTCAATTTCCAACAACAAATTTATTCGATACCTCCTGCCAACATCCTGTGCTCCTTCTTTAGACCCCTGCAGAAGTTCATTTGATAGAATTACACAAAATATTTATCTGACTCCCCTCCCTAACAGTAATTGCCAATTGGTGGATTTATCTTAACTAATCTTTACATCTAGAGTTTTCAAATAAATTCATGTACCCCTCTTTCCACAACAAAGGATATGTAGTTACTTTATACCGGTGGCTCCTAACCATCTGTAATGATAACTCCAACCAACTTATGCCAAACTAAGAGTGACATTTATCTTTGGTTACACGTAAATCGTCTTTAATTACAACATAGATACAGATGCACCATTTCATATTCAGATTGGAATACATCAGACCAGTTTTGAAGAGTCTGAGATCTAAATTCTTTTAAACTCACTCGAGGCTGTACCTGTAGCGGTGGGGGGTGCCACTGCCCCCCCTTCCGTCTGACTTGGGGGAAAGTTCCCCCCCCCGCCCACTTTTAGCAGGTCCTTATTAAATGGCTGATGCATGATGGTCTCACAAATCCCCCCCCCACTTTGAAAATCATTCTGCTACCATTGTTTAAAATTCCACAATGTCATGTATGTAAAGAGTGGGTGCTGTCAATCTCACAGTCAAAAAAGATGCACCCATGCATGAACCACTTAGCACCTGTCTATGGGTGTGGCTCTGCCCCATGTATTGTACCTTGCAACATGTCATGGTAGGCATTATCAGCCACAGAGTAGACGTGGGGTGGCATCTCATTCCTCCTCTTGCCCTTGTACAGCATCACCACCTTGTCGGTGTAGATGGGCAGACGGCGGTAAGGGTTGATGGCCACACAGAACAATCCAGAGTATGTCTGCAGTTAGGTTTAAAACACAAACAAATAATTTGATAAAAAAGTTTTTAAAAAATAACAAAACTCATGAAATGTTACTCAGGATGACACCTGCAGTTGGAGACAATTAGCAAAGCAAAAATCAATCGTACATTGTTAAAGCCTAAAATAACCATCAAGAAGTGTCATTTGGAGGATTTCATCTCATAACATTATTCTAATTACCCATGCCCATCGTAAAAATATAACGATCCCAACCCAAAGAAAAGAAAAAAATGATCTGGCTGTACTTAATGAATTCAACATATTTTGCAAAGTCAATGAATCTAAATCGAGTTGAGGACTTTCTCCGTGATACTGAGAAGGAGCACAAAATGTACAAACATTCTCAAATTGAAACCCTGAAGTACTAGCATATATGTAGTACACATGTACTTCGCTTGCAACTTAGTAGTCAGTTATAAAAATCCTGCTGGTTTTCATGATATCCCTTGACTTTGCCGTGCATATGTCCTACGTGGTATTATTCAAAATGTTAATTCTGCTGCTAAATGTGTGTTTAATATTTTACGTAAAATTTGTGGATGAATACCCCTAGTAAAATGGTATGTGCATAAAGTTTATATTAGCAACATCCTAGTAAAACAAAATATCGACAAGTTCAAAAGCTCACCATTAACTTTTCCACAGTAGTTGTTAATTTGTGAGTCCCTAAGTAATGCCCATTTCAGCTCTAAGAAAATATTATAAAGAACTATTAGAAAGAAAAATTAGAAAGAAACCCCTGGAGGATCAGTCAGGTTAAATGAGGAAACCCCAACCAAATACCATTAAGATACCCATCAACCCCTTGTGGAATTCCTAACATATCCACCAAGCCATACCCCAGCCAAGTCCTGACCATATTAAGCATTGCTAGCTGTGCTCACTGTGTGAACGTTAAAGCCATTCACTCTCTACTCAATGGCAGTGAAGTGCACTAGAGCTACGGCTTTAGACATGGAGCCCAAAGGATGCTCCAAGTTCCTCTTGGGTTTGCTTACTGGTACATGTAGATTTGAAATTATGCTCATTTGCTAGGCCAGAGTGACAGGATCTGATGGCCCATTCACAAACAGGCCCTACAGCTGTAAGAACATTTGCTAGTCTATGGAAAACTAGGAAATTTATGATACTTGGTGTATATGAACCAGATGAGGAAGTTTTTGTACATGTTTGAACATGTATCATACCAAGAAATGAGTGAATCTTGTCTGACTAGCAAAGGTCTTACAAACACATATTCTTCATGCAATTATGTAGACAGTAGTGTGCAAGAAGTTCTACATCAAAAATCTGCGATCACATAAAATAAAAACCAGGTTGTTCCTTTATGAAGTCATTTTTAATCCCTATTTTTGTACTGCAAATACCTCAATTCAAGTTCTAACTTTTTGTAATCTTGAAACTAAATATTACTTAGCTGTAATCCTGTCCTCTGTTCAAGGACTTTTGAATCTCCTTCATAATAGATCAATGAACTTTTGCAGAATACAGCAATAAATATAAAAGCTGTGTTAATGTAACACTATATATGTTTTTCCAATAAATCTGGCTCTGAAACTTGACTAGTCTTCATTTTTATCAGCATTCCTCTTCTGTCAAACTGGTTTTGTGTTCTCTTTTGCAATCCAGCATTCCTAACTGAATTACTTTTCAGACTCATTTAACACAGCAGATTGAATAGCTTGATTTATTCACAAGGGGGGAAGGGACCTATTGATTCCATAATGTATTCCCAGACTGTCTAGCAACAGTTTCTTTGGAATGGGTAATTGACATCAAAGATCTGCACCAGGAAATTTGAAGTGCTGGTAAGGAAGAAATGCAACTCTGAATGTTTTCTTATCTGTAGAAAAAAACACCTGCATTTTTGCCCAACATTAAAATCAATGACACCTCTGGTAAGTAAACCAAACTTGTTGCCACATATATTGTTTACACAAATACACACCACTGAAGATACAGGTTATAAATACCAGTAATCTGGACATGTTTTTCTTTGATCACTGAATATACAGAGCAGAACAGGTACACATAGCTTACAATGGACACTCCAACTCTGTCAATAGAACAGGGAGGGGAGATGTTTTACTCTTTAAATCCTTTGATTTAATGATGTTCTAACTGCAGTTTCAGAATATCACTGGCCTATTGGAGATCATCAACAACAGCAATAAATCAGAGCAAAATTTTGACTTGCATTTAAAATTAGCTTCTTTGTACACAAACTTTACATGTCTCCTGTATGCACATTTGTTCATGCTGGACAAATGGCCCATTAAGTAAATTTACTCAAGATTACTGGCCTGGTACTTAGAAAGTTAAGTGGATGTAATCCCCAAACTCCCTTTGTGTTTGCTTTGTACAAAGTCAAGCTGAGAAGGGGTCACAGTACACCTGTATTCAGCCAGATTAATAGGTCAGTAGGTTTAAGTTTCGCTCTACAGCTAACTCTTTGAAAATTTACTGAATTATTGCTCACCTTCAGTACTGATAACTCTATTACTATTTTTCTTAAATTTCCTGTTGTTTTTTCCTTTTTCTTTTGTTGTCATTGTTGGTTTAAACTGTATTCCCAACCATATGTTCCACTTCATTTTAATATTTAGAACAAATGCCAATTGGGCCTGAATGAAAACAAAGTATTTTTACTATAAGTAATTGATCCTCAAAAATTGCCATTGGTATGTAACCTTCAAAAGCCTGAATCTGCCTGTACATTGAGCATATTTGTGTGCAAACAAGGCCTACACTTCAGCTGTAATGAATACATAAAGTACCATGGTAAAGAATAAATTTCTAAGATTATGAGGTTCAGAATAGGGAAACAACTTATATTCGTCTTTCTTCATCCTGTCCGATCAGGCTCATGCTTGATCACTTGATAAGGCTTCTTTTATTTTCTCCACATTTTTCCTTACAGATAATGTGATTCATGTTTGCTGCATGTATACATGTAGATCGAGACCAATTAATGTAAAGTGCTTTGAACTCTGCTTTGAAGCCTTTTTATACATTTGAACCCCTGCCCACTTTCAAGTTTATCTACCTTTTAAATTCCTTCAAAACAGAAAGAGTATTGCTTTTCAGCAGTTACTGAAAGAAAATTATTCAGACAATACTCATTCAAACTTTCATTACTATAGGCCCTATTATTAATTATTCCGAACACAGTTTTCATCTTCCTTTCTTCATTCTCCAAAGTACTTGTTACATAATTTTATGGTTGCTTGTTCCTGCTAAATGTCACTTAATCAGGACCTGTTTTTCCAACTTTTAAAGTGTTCTCATTTTTTACTTCTATTTTATTATAACCTTACGTTTCATCTTAATTTCCCATTTAGATGTCACTCATTGTAATCTACATGTATGTACAGTTTCTGGACTGTTTTATGAGGTTGATTTTTAAAAACCTGAATTTCATTGAATTCCTTTTATGTTGCTCTGAAATTTTCAGTGCAATTTGCAACTACAACTAACATGTTACAATAGTTCCATCAAAAATGAGAACAAATCTCCACCAGACAAGCAAACAAAAAATATCCTAATCTATGTATACATGTACCAATATACCCAAGAGAACAATGAATCATGCTAAATATTTCCCTCTTCTGTCCAAATATTATGACTGCCCATTTATTAATGAGGTCTCCTTGGGGAGTGATGTCCAGGGTTTTGTTTGTTTTCATAGTAAAGGTCACCCAAACATGATGGGTTTTTAAACTGCTCAGGTGTTTTCAATAAATTGCCCAATGGTCAATAAATACATGTATGAATAGGTAAAAAAAAACATGTTGTTCCCTCAATTTAGGAAAGACTAAAAATCTAAATTAAAAGGTTTCTTGCCCTTCCCAAAGCAACTATATATGGCAATAAACTGGTCTGCTTTTGATGAAGGAATGTGTGTAGTAACACAGTATTCAAGTTTCCAATGCATCAGTTAAAGGTTGCACAAAATAACATACTTTACATGCAACCTTTTCAAACCTTTTCATTGCATCTAAAATCTTATGGTCTACTTTCATCTTTAAATATATTCCATATAAATGTCTAGCATCTATGTACTGTTAATCACACCAAACCCAAGTCAAAACTTTCTTAATTGACAAGGTGACAGCTGAGCTCCGGGCAACATATTTTTGGTGCCACCAGCCTGCTTCTTAGAGGCTGAACTGTAGGCATAACGTCTTTGGTCACACTATCACATGCTCCTTAAGACCTTTAGCTTTTGGGGAAGTGATTACTACGTGCCCTGCCTCTCTTCTCACTGCAATCTGAGGCATCACCCTATATGGTCAGGCATGCCCACACAGTACAGATGGAATGTAGCATTTCATGTTTGACTGTCTGGTGCCACACTCTATGCATGGTTGAGCTATTCTGCCTTGTGTAGACCTGCACTGGTCTGATGGTCTGCCAACACTAAAAGACACATTTGCATGACATTCAATACAAATTTCCAACTGTGAAATTTTGCGATTATTTTTTGCTTAAATACATGTATGTCTTCTGATTACGATATGTTACTGATTGTTGCCACAGAAAGGTAAAAATATATTGAGCAGTATTTGAGAAATTACAGAAGTATATTCTTGGAGATAAAACATTTCTCACATGGACAGATACTTTGTTTCTTAAATATGAAAATTAAATTCAAAACACAACTGAAAATTACCTGAATGTATTAAATACTCTTTGTAGTTTTTAGTAGTTTTTACTGTTAGAAACTCTCATTATCTCACAAAAACAGTTCCAGTGTAGATAGCACTGAAATTTATTTCAAGAACAAAATGTAACGTTTGTCACTGGACAGACATCATGTTTGTCACATGGACAGACATTTTTCTGGTATTTGAATGAGAGCATGAAAACGGGATTTATCACAAACCAAACTTGCTCGTTTTCAGTTTTCAAAATCATTTTGTTAAAAGACTATTAAATTCAGCTAAAATGAACACTGTAAGTTTTTCTCAATGAGTAACATTTGTTACATGGACAGATGTAACGTTTGACACATCACAATCTGTGGACAGACAGTCTTCTCACTTTCATTTCAGCAAAATGAACTGACTTTTTCTGATGAATTTTTCGTTATTTATTAAATTTGGTTTTATAATAAATGTATATACTCATAAAGATAAGTCTTCTAAGATTTTTACATTCAGAGGGGAAAAATAGTTGTGACAAACATTACAAAATAGTGGACAAACATTTGCAATTTCTAAAATCAAATCTTAGTTTTGTCGTCTGATGAAAAAACACACAAATATGATGTAAACTGTTATTGTAAAAACTGTTCTCAGGAAGATCTGCTCAAAAAATGGCAAAATCAGTCTGTTTCATGCTTGTCACTCTGTGGACGGACACCGTTATTCCTTAATTAGCTCTCCTTGAATTCCTGAATAACTTAAACAAATAAAAAGCCATAGACTTTAACACATTTCTCAAAATGTTTTAATAGATGAATTGCTTTTCTCCATGAGAGTGGTATTTTAAATAACCTGGAAAAACGTGAGTTGACAGAATTATGTGCATGTCCCATTGGAACCCCTAAAATATCCTGGACATTTTCATCCAAATCCTGATTATTTTAACAACATACAACCAAATCCTATTAAACTGTGTAAATTATTATCTCTACAAGTACTGGGATATATATGTACAATGTACATCAAAAAACGATGGATGCAAAGGAATATGCTTTGTTACAAAACATTTCCTGAGTGAACACAAATTTATTACATCTGGAAACCATACTTGTAACTTAGTTTGGAAGTTTTTTCTTACTTTTTTTTCACAAACTCCAAGGGAGTTGTTTATTCAGGCCAAAATTTTAATAAGGTCACCAGGGGGTGCCAGTCCATAATAGTCACCTCTAGAATTACAGTTGTGGCACACTGGCTGGTGAACAATTTCTCTCAGTTTCTCTCTGTTTGGTATCAAATCCTGCACTCCCTGACTGGTCTGCCGAATTACTTTAAAAACTGGACAACTGCCAGCTAAGATGTGTTTGTTCACATGTAAATGGAATGCCATAGTTCACACACACCACAGAAATTAGACCAAAAGGCGTGTGCTGTGTTGGTTTGCATTGGTGTATATAACACGCAAACTTTTAAGTTTCCCACAATACTGTCTTCTTTTGAGTGAATACTGAATGCGGGCATGGCCACAATTTGGACAAGTAACTGATCAACACCTACTACAGCCTCATGGGTGCAAAGTAGATATGTGCCATATGCATGGTTTTGCCCCAGTAATTTATACAATAATCTAGTAAAAAGAACTTACATTAGTTTTTCAATCTTCAGCATTAGTATTTGGTCATTTTTTTCTACAACATCTGATTGGATGCACTCAAATAAGAGAACTTTCTTGTAACAGTCTGCATTTGCATAATAAATAAAACCGGTTGTGACAATTTTAACAGATTAAGTCATTATTCAAGGCCCAACAAGTAAGGTTTAGGCACTGTCAACCTATCTAGTAAGATTTGACTTCAATACAATGGAAAACATGATTTATTAATTAATGCAGATAAGCATAAGTGGAACTATCTACATTGACTTGCTGGTTACAAAGCAAAAAGTTAAATGATACACCAGCACAACCAAAAATGTCACACCAGCTTACATGTAGGTGGCCCTAAACACTGTGGAATTTTGCACTTATACTTACAAAATACTCAGGAATTTTGATACTTTGATAATCTTAGTATCAAAATGCACTTTAAGGACAACATCGGTCAATACTCATACTTAATATTGATACATGTACCGATACTTTAATACATTATTCTGTACTCACACCAGGATTGTAACTGAGTTCATCACAAGCCAATATTTTATAAGTCAAATCATGGATAATTTGTGATTGGCTTCAGGTTGGATAACGTGAAATACAAAGATTTGTCTGCAACAGTAAAGTATACTATCACCTGCAAGAATGCTCTCTATACATCAGCGCAGAATACTGTACACTCAGAGAATGCACTATTTAATTGTCAATCTGAAAATTTTGTTTACAAAATAGCCAATTAACAAATTTGATCAAATACTCACGTAGATGAGACCTGAGTGGTAACGGGATCGGAGGTTGTGCAGTACGCTAGCCTCATTCAAAAAGGTAAGACCAGCCATGTCTTCCACCTTCTCAAATTTGGGAGGATTCATCTGTTGGGTATCATCTTTCTTGAGGGTCACTTGCTGTAAAGAGCAATGGAGAAAACAAAGCATTGATCACTTGACCACATTTTCTTATGAAATTTCTCATGTTCCATGTGTAGTCTGATCATGCTTCATTACTGAAATGAGAGGAGATAAAGAAGGAAATTTTAGCCCCAGGAGAAAAGCCCGAGAGATGTAAGAGAAAAATTACCCTTTGTAAAAGGTTTGCAACAGATAGGAGCTGAACATAGTGTCCCTTAACGGAATTGAAAAACAAGGTTAATATCAAGTGTTGAAGCCTTTACAGTAAACATCAACCACCCTATAAAACTTGTTCAATTATCCGGAGAGTTAATTAATCTACCATTCAAATTAAGTTTGTGAAAACAAGGTTACTGTGAGTTGCTGGCTACTGTCCCATAGTGTTAACTTATAATTATAAATTATAATTTAGATTTATAAATTCATTATTGTCCTGTACTTAGCAGATTTAATTTGGTTTGTATTTGTAATGTATTATCGTTCTAGTTTTTTCTTGATTCAAAATAAGATTTCCTTTGAAAAGATAATGTACTGAACACACTTTCTATAATTGTGCAACGAATCAAACAGTGCTGTGTTTTGTTCCTTTTAATTCCAGTTCCACTTTTGCACCAGCCAACTATTTATTTAATTACTTGATAAGAAAGGGCCAATGAATCCGTGAGAAATGTCATTTTTTTTAATAACTGACCAGTGCCTGTATCCCTTTCAATGATTATGCAAGCCTTTTGTTCAGCTGAGTGTTTCACACATAAGTCACCACACTAATCTTGTAAATCAACAAGGGCTAAGACCTTGGGCAAATGTTTACTTTTGTAACAAAGATGGGGTCAAACTAATAAAGTGTGCAGGTTAAGGATTTTGTGATGGGGCTCAGGTTGCGTTTGGACATGTGAAGTGGAATTTTAAACTGGTGTGTCCACTCAAAACCATGTTAATACTTGGAAGAAAAATGACTATATACAAAGAAATAATATTTTATCCATTTTGAAACTGAGTGCAATCACATTTATCACTGGATTGGTCACTCTTACCTTCATGCTCAATCTTCAAAAACAGTCAAACAGGCCCAACTGCACTGAATAACTTTCCAACAACAAATTTTGAGACCAAAATTTGAAACTGAAATCAATTACACTTGCTGACATAGTTTTCAAAACTGCTTTTAAAAGTTGAACCACTGTAAATGGTCCTTTCACATTAATTGGTTATTTTCTTAGTTTGTCATCCTTGTTCATGCTTGTTTTTATTTCTTTTGTTTCTTAGCTAGTAAATTCAGTGAAAGGGCTCGAAATTTCAATATTTAGGCCTAATTGTTAATTAAGCCAATCTGTGACAGTTAGGCTCACAGGCATAGTCTCAATGCTTCAATTAACATTAATTTAACCTGCTCCTAATTTTATTTCATGTCTGCTCTAACACTTTCACAGACCTTTCGGAGACCATGTAGACTAAAACCTTTAAAATGTTGACTGTTGGCTAGGTGTCCTTTAGTCTTCCGTGTGTACTGTTTTTGTTAATTAGTACTATTTTTAGGCTATTTAAGATGTTTTGTTTTGCTTCGTTTTAGGTCTGGGGCCTATGCATGCACTAAGCATACTAAGGCTCTAGGCCTACTTGAAACTGCTAGTTCTGGAGAACATAAGAGTTCAGAAACTGAGTTGTGATAAGGTTGTGCCACTGAGGTTCATTTACCTTTCCTGTGACCGTCTTGAGAGTGACTTGTTCCCCCTTGGTGCTGATCACCTCTGCGGCAATAAAACCATCCTTTTGATCAGGCACCCAGCAGTTCTTCTTGGTGTCAAACTGGGTGGCCGCCGCTTCCAACTGATCCTTGCGGTTGACCGTCAAGAATGATTCCGGATCGTCCGACATCTTGGCGAGCAGTTGCTAGCTGAGCGCTTCGCGTTGACTGCAGAGAATTTTAGTTTAGTTATGGAGAAGCTTCGCCTGTCTGGACGCGATAAACAAGCCCTTCCAGAATCCAAGGTTTCTGTTTGCCCTGTGTTGCTTGGGGAACTTGAGATCAAGAGGTACTGAGCAAGGCTGGAAAGAAATTGAAACAAAAAGCATGGTTAGCCCTGTAGGCCAACAGAAGTTCAGAACTAAGCTCGATGTAAATACTAATAGCAGACGATATTCCAATCGGCCTCTAGGATTTGCGCTTGCGCTGTGTATTCGGACGTGTACGACTAGTGATTGGTTGGAGCCACGTTTGGAGCGCACTCGTCTTCTCAATGGTCAGCTGCGGTCCAACGGCGAACTTTGAACTGATTTATGGGTCACTGGAACTTTTTCTGTGAAACTCTCCTGCCATTTCATTGCCTATTTTTATTAACCCAATGTGGAATTTAAAAGTTCTAAAGCTTTGTATCCAATCTTTTTCCAAATCTTTGTTGTTTGAATTTCATAAATGACCCGGCCAATAGTGTATCGACTTGTTTCACTGCACCTGTCGAGAAGGGGAATTTGAAAGTGCTTTTCGGGAAGAGAGATTAAACTTGTTAGCATCATCGTAAACGAATTCAGTTTCGGGTAAGGGGGCAAAATAGTATGTGGAGGAACATCGCAAGAACAGTTGATGATGTTGATGTCTATGGTGTAAATTTGTGCCGGAAATTGGGGTGGGGTGTGGTGGGGTGGTGGGAGATGACACAATATGACTCTATGTAGAGGCCGATGTTCATGATATCAATATGCATGTTCATCTGTAATAGGTTATGTATTCAGAATGGCATATTATGACTTTTTAACTATTGTTCCTTTTTGAGTGATACTGAATGCTATTTAGTCGTTGGAAGTCTGAAAACTTTTTCACAATCCACTCTAATTTTTTTGCTCACCACAAAAAAGTGTGTGGGGGTGATTCAATAACCCAAACGCCACCTCAAAAAAAAATGTGGGGGTATATATATACCCCGTCCCCCGGGATATACGCCCATGGTTGATGCGTATGGTTTTGCCGATGGGGAGGGGGCAGCTGCTCGGCAGGGGGATGGGCTAGCCCTCCGGGCCCCCATAGCGACGAACTGATTACAGTTATGTTGGAAACGTCATCTGACAGTCCTCCAAGATGGCCTCATTTGCGAATGTAGACAAACTATTGGATTATCATGCAACCCTTCACTTGCAGAGGCGAGCAAGGAAATAAAGAGACACACAAAACAGAAAAGTGGAACAAAGGGAAGCGAACTTTCGGAAGAAACTAAAAATTAACAAGTATACAACTGCTTACAACTGCAGGTGCATGCGTATTGTTATTGCGGTTCCAAGTTTTTGTTTTTGTTTTTTAATATCAACTGCTTTCCGAAAACACTTCATCAACATTCTTTTTAATCTTAGCAGTCAACTTGGTTATCCTGTATTATAAGGTGTTATGAACACAGCCGTTAGGGCTCATTATGTCCGAACTGTAAATACAGCAACAAATGGGCCGCACTCCGTTATCCAAACAAGGATTTGGTACTCATCCAAAAAGTACATTAACCGCTAAAGCTTTTCTTCAGATAGAAGATAATGGTTCGTGGTGTGCTTCTAAACACATCTTATATATATTTTGTAAAAATCATTTACATTTGTCAAAAAAACAATACTAATATAAAATGACAAATACATTTTAAAATGTGTCGGGATAGCGTTTTCAGGCATTGTAGCACGAGTTTTTAATCACCATAATTCTTTTTTTCTCTCTCTCTGAAATAACTTGGATGTTCTTTGTTTAGCTTAAAAAGAGGCAAATTGCAGTTTCAGTTTCTTTGGTTATGCATCGAAGCATTCAAGTTTTCGCTTGTTTTTTTTTTTTCATAGATATACCGTATGCTGTTCCATTGGCTCATTCGACAGATGAGGGAACTAACTGCAATGCTATTTTGTCGCTGTATTTTTCTTAAAATTATTGACACTTTTTCAATGAATATTTTCAGTAAAATGTTAATGTGCGCATATACAGAGGATACATTCACGTCATTGTAACAATTATCGAGCTTTCAAAATTTAAGAAACTTCATTACCAGTACTGTTTAAATGTTAATCTGTTCTTACCTTTCAACGAGCAGCAGAAAGCTAGTGCTGAAGGCAATCCGGTGGAGTCGTCTCAACCACAGAGAGCCGACTGCGACCAGTAAGTAGAGCCAGTTCACGTCACCTTCCCACCATTAATTTTATGCATCCCGGGTCGACCATCTAAGCCAGAATTTCATTGGCTTGCTTCCGACCCTGCCCACCCTGGTTACTTCCAACCTATCAGAATGCAGTACAACCGGCAAGTTAAAATATAATTTGCATAAAACCAGGCCGCGAGTCAGAAGGGGGTGACGTCAAAACCGCATCTCGTGGAATGCTAGAGGAATGCGCGACATGATAGGCATTCCCTGCGACTGAGGTGAAGAGGGAAAGTGTTGTGCCGCCCATCACCGTAGAACGGAGCGTAGTTACCAAGAGGAGCTTTTTAATTTTCCATTGGCGGTCCCGTCTTAAAAAATTAATTTTGGTCACCAGATAGACCATTGTTGGGTGAGGGTTGGAGGTGGCAGTGAGGAGAATGTAGGTAAAGGTTCGATGTGTAACTCATGTTCGCTTATGTATTTACCGAACCTGCATGATGATTTTGACTGGATCCCTCGAAACAAAGGTTATTAAAATATATGGGAAGCTGATGTTGTTAATTTGTATAGCAAAAAACAATGCAAAACATCCAAGGTGTTTCAAGAAAATAACATCAACTCTCGTTAAGTTATTTCTGGAAGAAAAAAAAGTGAAAAATTGAATGTTGTTTGCTCCTAATCTCTCCCAATGATATGCTGTAAATTCTCCCAACCCGCCCATATCCACCAGGGTCCATCTAATGACACGGGCGCTCCATCCATAAAAGGCAAACGGCGTAGAGTTTGACCTCTCCGCAACAACCGGTATCAACGGGACGAACTTGATCTTTCATTATTCCATTTTCACTTGATATTACTGTACTTACTCCGGTCTAAGTATAAAATTGAAGAAATTCGGGACGAACCCCTACAACCATACGAGGAATTCATTACTTTGTGTCAACTTGTCAGCAGCAAGACTAACGCAAAAATAATTCAGACATTTCTGAACGTTTGAAATTGAGAATAGTTAACACCCACCTCAAAAATCTAAAACGAGAAAAAAAGGTTCAAGGTGCCTGAAATCAATTCTAAAGAGCCCAAAAAAGCACTAAGAGTGTCTTGTTCACGATTCTTCAGGTATTTCAATATCCTTTTTTTTAAAGCTCAGTGGCACTTCAGTGTTTTGAAGGGGATTGGTTGCCCGCACTCGGCAGAGGGCGCTCTCACAAAATTGCGACCGGTCGAGAATTAGACTGGTTCTTGTCAACTTTTGACCAATCATCAGACAGAGTGCTGGCTTTTTATCTTATGACGTCATCTACTCTGTTGGAAGCTGCGAAGGTTGGTGAACTTGAGTCTTAAGTTGAACTACAGAGAATGCTGCTTGTTTTTTTTTTTATTTTTTTTTATTTTTCACTTACTGTTAACTTGTGTTACAACTTCGATTGGGAATGCAGTATTCTCGACTGCCGGTCCATTGTATTATTTTGGTGTTCGTCGAGTCTGGCCTCTTTTGCTGGCACAGGATCTCTGCGAACTGTGAACATGATTGATGAATGATGTTTGGGGGAATTCATTTTCACCTACCTTAAACTTAGTCTTAGGCCTAGGCAAGGTGAGAAAGAAAATTTAGCTCACCTCTATTTATTCTTAGCTGTTTTAATAAGACCTAAATTGGTTTGGGGAACACGGAAAAGGGCAACTTTTGTGTAGGCCCAGACCCTATAGCAGTGACCTGTGTTTGACCACAAACTAGTCACTTCTGTTCGCTCTCCTATGATCTTGTTCTACTGGACAGGCGAAGTACTCGTTGGCCTAAGCCTAGTACTGTAGGCCTATTGAATTTTTCAGGGTAACTTGAACAGTTCTACCATGTTCATATTCTGCCCTGGTTCTACTGTGACTGAGGGTATTTTGCTTGTTTGGAATATTTTAATATGTTTGTAAGATTTCTCCATGACTTTTATTTCATCCACAAAATTTGAACTGAAATGCTTTAAAAATGGTAAATAGCTTAGGCCTATTTACAATTTAACAAGCAGGGGAATATTTCTTGGAAGTGTATGCAGTCTAACCTCATTAATAAGAGCACTGTTAATATGAGATTTTGCTTATAACAAGGAAAATTTTAGATCCCAATCATTTGTTACTCATTGTTTTCATTTCTGATAATACAAGGGTTCCTGTTATAACAAGGTGATTTGCCAAATCTGAAAGATGTCTTATTAACGAGGTTCAACTGTATTTAGCCATCTCCGGCTAAATTTAATTAAATGTCCAGTGACTATTTTTGGGACTTGGACATTCTTACTGTGAGTGTGACAAATCTTAGTCTGGTACTGCACCAACATAGTCATTGCGACTACGGATTCGCGAGATGGGAATCAGACAATTTTACAGTTTCAGACATTTTTCCCTTTGAAAAGGTCCTCCAGAGCCTTGAATCAGAAAAAGAAAATGTAACACCCGGTAATTAAGTGTTGGAGTCAGTTTAATATTAGCAGAAGAAGAAACATTTTTTTTATAATAAAAAGGCAACAGCTGGGTCTTGAACCTGGCGTTACGCGTATCATGATCTCAAGATGTGTGTGCTATCTACTAAATCAAGGACCCTTCTTGGAATCTAGTGGTAATCTGATAACTTTTTTTATTTGTGCATACGCATCAAAGAGGGTGCTGTCTGCTTGTAGCTGGCTAACTTTAGCCACGACGGCTAAATATTTTTGAAACCATGTACAAACTGTAAGGCATGTAACTTGAACATATAGTTTTGAGCAGTGACTATTTGACTGACTCACAGTCCTGGTACATGCTTTTACTGTTGTGCTGGCTCAGCAGCTTGTACATGTATAGCGAGTGTTGTTTGGATGCATCCCAATTTTACCGTGTCTCATCTTCATCTGTTGCCCTGCTTACATTGACATTGTTAATTCATATTTATGAGATTCGGAGATAGAAGTCAGACCCAGTGCACTTTCCATTTCAAATCCTCCAAAGCTGCGAATCACAAAAATGAAATAAAAGATGCTGGAACGTATTGCAGTAATCTATTCAAAACAATGGAAGAGTAACCCTGTGATTTGCTGTGGGTAGGTAAAAAGCCCAAATGCCCACAATAGGTCTTGAACCTACATCTCGGAGTCTTCAGCCATGTAACCGTTATGCCACGTGCTCAGTCTCAGAGTGTGAATTTTGTAATTATATTGGATCGGTTGTGTGGAAGCTTGGAAAAAGTTCAGTTGGATGCCAACAAAATATGCACTTTGTTATTTTTAAATTACCTGTCCCTCCTTTTCTCAATTTCCACTTCAGGTAATCTGCACCATGTCTTAAGTCAGAATTGGTTCATATATATAAGTAATTCTTCTCCAGCATGACGTCCAACCTGAGTCAACTTTCCTCCTTCACCGGTAATCATGGCCAACATGATCCCGAATGGACCATCACTGGTTCTAGTCCCACATCCCTCTCCTGTCTCGCCTGCATCGTGGAGACCATGGAGGACCCCAACTCGGAGGTTCCCATGGTCAAGAAGAAGCACCTCCTGGGAGAGCTCCTGAAGGCCATCAACACGCACGAGAGACTTCTGTCAGACCTCTTAGCAGGGGACAGCCGTGTAGCCTGGCATCTGGCCCAGACAGTTTACCGTGAGCGGATTCTGTTTATATGCCACTTTGCAGTATTTGCTCAGACTTGATAGCTGAGTCTAAACCAGATACACAGATGAACTAAAAGACTGAATATCCTTAAACTAAATGTAAGATTATTCACTCTGGTCATTGGACAGAGAACACTACACTATTTGTTGTTATAACTCAGAAGTCGGAAGGAGGCATTTTTAAGTTTGGTTTGTATGGGATAAAAAGAGAATATTATATTGATGTCTTGACTGACATGATCCATTGATCCATGATTTTTATAGTTCTACCAGTGGTTTGGAATCTCCAGGATTCCATCTAGCCAAGAGGTTTGAGGAGAATAAATTTGAGCAAATTTCCCCTAAGCCTTGCAGTAGTGCCCGACCTTCATGGCCATTCAAACTTCATCATTTACTTGTTTTCTTTATTTCTTTTATGCAGGTGTTCTTGAGATACCTGACGAGGCACTCTCCATTATTGTCATTGAAGGTACTTTTCCGCTGTCTCTCTTCCACTTGAAAACCTATAGCTGGAGTAGTGTTCTATGAAATTCCAGCGCACAGTGATAGAGCGCTTTTCAGGAGGGGGGAGGGCAGTTGTGAGACCATTCCACATCAGCCATTGAAAGACTGATCCATGAAGCGCCACCGCATTATGTTCTGACTAAAAGTAAGGGTGTCATCCCCCAGTTGAAGAAGGGGGGACACTGGCCCTTACCCCTGGTTCCACGGTCAGTGTTCAAGTGTCAGTTAAAGTAACCCCTGTTGATCTTGCAGTGTAAAATTGGAGAGATCAATAAATCACTGACTTGCTTCTTCTGTAATTTGTTCACCACTGATTGGAACTTGAAACGTGTTTAATCTTTATGTGGTAGTGATAGGCTAATGATAAAACGTCAGAACTGTCAGAATTCTCAAAATATAGAAAGAAGTACCCTAACTTGTAAATGAAAGTGTCAGACAAATTTTTTGCATACATTGTACCCTTGGCAGAAATGCCAAATCTGAAGAGGCCGTGATTAAAGCACACTCATATGGGGTGCCAAAATTATCCCAAACCTTGTCGAATTAAATATGGGAGAGTCTTTCACTCACTAAACTCACTTGTGTGCAGTGGATGCCACTGAACTGCAATACCTCTCTACTGTGCGTAACAGTTGAACAAACTTGCTTCAAAGCTTGTGTCAGGTAGCAGTTGCCAAGCTTTTGAAACTTTTGAAAGAGGCAAATATATACACACAACTGTGGATGAAACCCACTCCTCATCTGCATGTTACCTGTAAAAATACTTGGCTGGTGGGGTTTAAACACTCAGACCAACATTAATGTGTCCTTATGACCTCAGTATGATATTGCTCTGCTTCTGTAATGGCCAAATTTCAGGTAACACTCAGCAAACAGTGTGTCAAATTAATGTTAAGGGATTCAGTAGCCCAATGCTCCAAATAACATGGTTCACTAGACATCAGTAAAATATTCTCAGTGTTGATCTAAACCAGCTTTTCAGCTCATTGCGTGGGATGAATTTTGCATCTTGCAGTTTCTCTCCGGTTCATTTTGTTGAAAAGATGTACTTTCTTTATGTGCAGTTCTGGTACAGTTGTGCTGCATGCTCAAGTCCGAGGAGCTGGTGTGCTGCCTTGTACATCAAATATCGGTGCAGGTATGTACATCTGACAACATATCTACTTAATCTCCTCTTGATCCAAGGATGTGAACTTGTGTAAGTTTCAAGCAATGGAATGGCACCTACTCTTGTCGTGTGGTTAACGTACAGTGCACTGTAAGTTTACTCTGTGGGAATCTGATAAAGAGCTTCACTTTTAACATGTCATTGTTGAGGATTGTCCTCACACAGTTTGGACGGCCTAGGAGTAAATTTTTTTTTGTTGTGGTCATTTTCCCCATTATACAACATGCCCTTTTTCCTCTTCCCACCCTAAGAGCATTCAAAGCAAGCAGTGATTTCCAGTCATCATTCTTCACAATTTGTGAACAGAAAACTGAGGCTGTCAGCAGAGGTGGTAGCAAGTCAATTTTTGAAAGTCTCGGCCAAGTTGCAAGTCATTTGGTCCAGTCACAAGTCAAGTTACAAGTCATTTGGTCCAGTCACAAGTCATTTGGTTCGTGTCACAAGTCACGTCACAAGTCATTTGATGACAGGCCAAGTCAAGGCAAATCACAGGTCAATTTGTCCAAGTACAAGTCAAGTCTGCTATGTGTGATTTCAAGTCACACCTAAGTGATTCGGGCATGGCCTTGGGCAGACAACACCAAAGTAGAAGACACAGCCAAACGAAGTCTTACACTGATTATGTTACAAACGCAAGGCATATGTTGATAGGCTTAATTTAAAAAGTTAATGGGATTGATTGAGTAGTTTCTGACTTGTGTTGGTAACAAGTCATAGTGTGTTAGTCCAAGTCAAGTCACAAGTCACAAGTGAACAACTGATAGTTATAAGTTAAGTCAGGAGTCACAAAAACACCGACTTGTCCTCACAATTGGAGTCTACATCAAGTGACTTGAGTCTACAGCTCTGGCTGTCAGCCCCCTCCCCGATATTTGCCGTGCTCATGAAAATGATTTAAAAAATAGATGGCCCCTAAGGAATCCATTACATTCAATAATTCATTGCCTTACTATTTGTTTATAAAATGGAGAGTTTTTACATCAACCATCAAAGATGTAAATGACTGATGCAAAAATAAATGCGTATTTCATATTTGATGAAATAGATGAGTGATAATTATGAGAAAGGCTTCAGTGAAGAAAAACAGTAAGAAGAGAAACATTAAGAAATCAAGGGAAATGATGCGTGTATCAAGGATTTCTCTAAGAAGCTGAGCTTTCAAATAGGACTTCAGAGCTTTCTGGGTTTTGTTTTCATTTTTGCATTTGGCGTTGTCAATTTTATAAATGTGTTTTGTACTAACAGTATTTGAGTGCATGAAAAATCGCACACTTCACTTCAATAAACCTTGGCATTTCTACTTTGGTGAAGCTACATCTCTTTGATAAATTGCCGCACCTGCTCTGCATGCTGCTCATTAACAATGAAGTTGAATAACAGCACATTAACCACGCAGCAAGAGAAAGATCAAGCTGACCTGCCATATGCAAGGAAAGGCTCCGAATGAGAAAACAAATTAATCAGGAAAATCAAAGGTCTCCTCAGAAACAGAGGCTTCGATTAGCACTTCCTTGTTTGTACTGCTTTTAATCCAACATGTTGTTCCCTGTGATGCTTTTGGTGTGGATCGCAAAAAGTATCCTACAATAAAATTGTGCAGTTTAAAAACAGGGCATTTTTTTTCACGGTCTTGGCTATTTTGATAATTTTCATTGATTTAAGTAGAAACTCTCTAGTTCGTATGTCAAATAACTTGAAGCAAGATTTGAGTTGTACAAGGAATTTGGCCGAAGACTTTCTCCCATATTCCTACTTTGTGTAGTGACATATCACTTCTTGCCAGTGGAGCCCTAGAGTTCATGGGAAGTTGACTCTGGAGCTGTAGCTGCCAGATTTTGCCCAGGGATTTATACCCAACTGTGTGGGGGGGATCTAACTACTGACTTTGATTACAGGACATGTCCCAGCTGATATCATATATACAGCTGGTGTCAGACATGTCAACCAGCTGCACTTGATAGAGAGGGGGAGGGTTAAGGTAAAGGTGTCACAGAGATGACAAAGCCCCTCCCCTTTTCTCTCATAAAACCCTTGAAAATAGCTCGTGAGCTTAGTTTTTAAATTGGATGTCGCACGCTGTGACCTCCCTTCCTTCTCAACCCACCCCTTTGAACTGAAGGCCATAGACACCCCCCTTTATTTTCACAGCCCCAAAATGTAGGGGACCCCTTTCCAGACAAAAAAAAATCGTCACTTTGTCAGTGTGCCCACAAAACCTTTATGTGCAGTGGACATTTTACTGACAACAGAGAAGCCACCAAAATGAGGACTGGCTTAGCCTTTACTACACTTTTATGAGGTCATAAAACTCTAAGAAAATGTGCTTCTAAGTTTGACTCCTGAAGGGGAAAATACGGATTTTACTTCACGGTCCTGGTCTGTGGTTATTAGTATTATTTTGAACAAAATTCCCCTTTCCGTTTATGACCCGAATCTATTAGAATCTTGGAAATGTATGTATCTTTTATTGGTTTCTTAAAGAAGTATCATTTTTAGGAGTATGTTCACTCTAGCTCGGGTAAAACATAAAATCGAAAAGTGTAATATTGACCAAAAGTGAAACCAATAACAGATATCTTTAAAGAAATACTGCTTCATGAAGAGTAAAAATATTATCGGAAAGAGTGAGAATGGTGGTTTGGAGAGCATTAACTTTTTCCCAGCCTTGGAGGGGGGGACCTTAGTATGTCTGAAGCTTGTCTGTCAATTAATCTTCCATGGCGTAACTTCAGACATCAATTAACCTGATTCAGATACTAATATGCCCTTGTCAGTTGGAAAGGCACAGGTCTTCACCCCACACATGAACCAGGCAGAATTCACGGACTGCAGTATTTCAGATGAAAGTCTATCAACGATGCTGTAAAGCCGGGCTGGCAGAGGATCAGATAGAAAGGAAGGACAGAGTAGGAAAGGGCATCTTGATTATCGTCATCATTTCGGACTAGGAACCCCTTCACCCTTGTTGTAATTATGGCAGATACCAGACTGACAAGTCGACCTCCAGTCATCTCATGAATAATTCAGTGAACACGTATGGGGGACCCTGGCAAGTGCCCCTTGTCATACCATATTAAGACATGTCTGCTGACTGCAGTACCCGTGGCGAGGTCTCCTTAAGTCTGTTCTATTCTGTTCACTTCTGCTCTTGTGATATATGGCCGTTAGCCCTGAGATTGTCAGCTCATCAATTGCGGGGTTAAAATACCTCTGGGTGCCTCTGGTCTTGGAAATGAAATCCTTGAAAGGTAATTACTTGGAGGTTCCATTTGTAGACCTAACATGCAATTGTGTTTATGCAGATGTGCTTTTTTTTCATAGTTTAAAGCCCTTTATTTATTTTGATGAAAAATCGAAAGGTTTTATCTTTCTAAATCACTTCAGCCATGTTTTTAAATTTAAATACATGTACACATATTTTCTAAAACTGCAGTTAAAACTTTAATTGATAAAGTAGGTTGAGCAGTACTTTCCTAAACTGCAGTTTTTGCAGCTACTGAATTCAGAAAGATGGAAAAATCCCAGCATTGTGTCAATATTGAGAATGAAGGGCAGGTACCAATTTATCATTCACTTAGTGAATTTAGCACAGCAATTATTGAAAATACTTTAATCAGACACAAATTAACTTTCAATATTTTTTTAATTCACAAATATATAAATATCTTATAAATACATTGCAATAAAAGCATACACCGATGCAAATGGAAAGTTTTTCCTACATGATAAATACTTCCTGGCTTACAGAAATCCTTGCCATGACATCTCAGAAGGGTACATGTAACTATACTGTCTCATGAATCACAACTTGATGTCAACTGAAATGTGGAATGACATAATCTGGGCCAACACGAAGAAGCACAGTGTTCCACTCTCCCTCCGAAATCCAAGAGCCCCTCTGTACTGTAAGACCCAAAGGGTTGATGTAGCAAACGGATACTTTTTTTTCCCTGGGTCTATCAATCTTATGCTTGATAAATTAGTACAGATCCTCGTGGAACTGTTTATTTTGGGTTTTTTTTTCCATTTTAGACAATTAAGCAGATTTAAGATATTGACAGAGAAAACACAATTACAGTCACGACAGTGGAAAGAAAGCTGACAGGATAAGTCTCGCCACTGCTGCTTGCCTCCTGGGGTCAAAGATGATAAATAGCTTGAAAAGAATGATTTCATGCTATGACTTTGAGTATATACACCAAGAAGAAATATGGCATGTCTATATTCAATCCGACCGTGACCCATTAACTGTTCCCCCCATTTGGTTGGCCTCAGATTTAAGTTAATCTCTGGTGGGCCTCATAAACATTACCGTGAATGCTCTGAAGGGATGGTTTATGCGGGGAGCTATTTCTGTATCTGTAAGTCCCTAGGCAGATGTAGAGAATATCGCTGCATTCTAGGAATGGGTCAGAAACAATTAATCTTACCAGTTGGACGTGAGGGTTTTTTATCTCTCGAACTTTTCCAAAGTGTGACTACAGGTACAGCAATGTGGTGTACATTGAGACATGGCCTTTTCACCGGTTGGAATTTTTTTTAAGATGTTACAAATGTTCTATCATAAAGGAAAAGATCTTTTCTTGGAAGGGTTCAATCTGGAAGGTTTCATAGAAAAGGGGTTTCTTGGGAACTCAGCTTTCACATATTTCAAAAAAAGAGTGACTATTTCAAATGTTTGGTCGTAGTATTTTAATCGTATTTTAACACTCTTGTGCAATTTTCATAGCCATTAAGCTTTGAAACTTGAACATAGACCATATTACTTGGACGAAAAGTGGGGAAAACTGTGATTCTATTTTCATATTTTTTAAGATTCAAAATGAAAAATCTCGGTGAACAAAGAGAATTGATATCCATGTGACTTTGTTTTGTTCACTCAAACTTTGATTTAAAAATTTACAGCTCAAAAAATCCATGATCATGTCATCTCCCAAAGGCCAAACCACGGTTCTATAAATTCCGAAATGTTCAAGATATAAACCCCTCATGTGTATGTCTGCATCCGTTCACATAGCGTACCCATAAAAAAAAAATCCCCAGATATTTGACAACATCCTCAGCTGGTAGGGCAGCATCAAATTCCCATGTCTCCAAATTCCTGGCTCCTCACAGACGATACCAAAACCATCTTCCCAGTTCGTCTTTCCTCTTTGCCGCCTGTTTGAAATGCGAGGGCCGATACCAGGCCCCACTCAGATAAAATGCCTGGCATATCTGGCCCCCTCTCTGAGGCTCTCCCATCGTGTCTGCCCTCTAAAGCCTGTTTATGTTCACAGCAGGTTAGAGAGGTAACAGTTATCTCGTGGTGGAATGGCTCTGAACTTGCATAAATAAATTGAGGAACAGGGGCGACTTTTTGTGAATAGAGATGGAGTGAATGAAGATACCTCAGATCGTTTGATTTTTGGCCGATTGCTCAAAGCAGAACGAAAGGATTATGTTGCAGATTACTGACATTTATCTCATTGTATTCATAAAGATTGAATGTAAGACAGCAAAGTAGACTAGGCAATGATGCTTTGAGTCATGCTTGCCAAACTTACTTATTGTTTTTTTCTTTTTAAGAGATATTGCATGTTTAATAGTCCAGTATATTTTTCATGATACATTTGAAAGAGTTACATCTTGACATTACATTCCTCAGTGCCCAATAAAAATGTCCAGATCATCCCTCGTGCCATTTCATCTGACACCATTTATAACTCTTCCTTCCCTCTGTTGAAATTAATTGAGATACAGGATAAAACAGCTTACACAGGCCAAGATCCTAAGGAGTACATTACATCCTTGTTACAATGTAATTAAACCACAGTTGACCTCATAAAGGAGAATTTGTTTGCAGTTGGGACTTCATGAGGACACCTTGAAGGAAATGCATATGTGTTTCTTTGGTTTTTTTTGCCATGTTAGAATGATATAGGCTATGAGGAAAGCCCTAAATTCAGTGTTCTCCGTTTCTTTTCAAAGAGCAATACTTTCGCAAGAATTTCTTGTAAGTTGTTCTGAAACTATTTCTCCAGTAATACTTTTATTTTGAACCCTTCTTTGAGAGTACAAACTGAAAAGTAAAATCATGATTTTTACCTTTTATTTTGCCCGAATGAAAGAAGAAAAGATTTCTCTGCTGGATTTGAAAACTTTGTTTGAAGTGTACACAGCCCTCTATTACCCTTCCCTGGCCATACGGTAGTTCGTACACTTGCCAAAATGATTGTGAAAATGATGTTCAAAAAACGTACGGCCTTTTAAACTCATTTTTGTTCGCACACCTATTTGCAGGTGCAGCAGTTAAGCAGCTTCAGTACCAGTCTCCCGGCCCTCACTCTCCTTGGCCAACTTCTCCACACCATCCCAGGCCTAGCCAAGATGGTCAGCCATGACCAAGGTAGGAAAAGCAGAGAAGGTTGATCCAACTGATTCGTTGGTATTTGCCTTGAGGCATTCCCTTGCGGTTGAGTGAACCGTCATCCACACTCAAGTTGAGATTGTAGTTCTAATTTGGGAATCAGTATCTGAAGGCCCGTAGGCTCATTCCAAACAAAAAATTGACTGATGTAGTCACAGAAGGAGGAACTGATTATCAGAAGTGAAATGCGAAGTTTCCAGGAGAGCTTGCTGAAAATTCTGCTCTGAAAAAGTTTACCTTAATATGCTTTTATTATTTATTGCTTTTAACAATGAAAATTTGGCTTTTATATTGCACACTTCTGTCTCGGTTTCTAGGTTAGACTTCAGGCAGTTACAATTGTTCATTGAAGTACTGGGGAAATTTTCCAAAAAGCCAACAGATGGCAAAATTGCTTTGTAGGGAAATTCTTTTTAGACTAAGTTGGAAAACAAAGAACATACAAAAGTCACTGTGGACACCAAATGGGCCAGTTCGATATCCCTAATTGCAAGATAATTTGAGAACAAGGCAAGAGTACGAGTTGGCACATGGCTGCCAGGGTAGGGCAGACCTAACAGGTGTACATGTATACAGTGCTGCTCCTGAATGACTATCACATGGGCTTCATTTTGGACATTGGCTGTTGGAATACTGCAGTGGTTCATTGCTCTGCTTATGTCCTGTTTAGGCGTGGTGCCAAAAGTTTCACTAGAATCAGAAGTATTAACTCTATCAGTTATCGTATATTTTAATAAATGAATAAAAATTGCAGTAAGATTCAGATGCATTAAATTGTAATTTTTTTGACATGTATAAAGTGGCTTCCAAAAGCCTTTCTTTAGGCCTATTGTTGAAAGTCAAGCAGAGGGAATGTTCTAGTGGAGAGGCTATGATTCCTCGGATCAAGCTCCACTTCCCAAAAGAGGAAAAATCTCCAAATTGCAGTTCTCAGTATTTTTTTTTTCAACAATTCCCTTGCAGAGTCCCTGACTGGGTTCTTGCTGACCGGCCTCTCCTACCCGGATGAGAAGGTCAAGTCCGTCTGTGCATTTATACTTGCACATGCCATCACATCGCCAGCAGAGGGCGACAGACAACTTTTCTGGGCACGGAATGGGGACCTACCCAGCAGTGTTCTCTCTCTCCTGGCCACTGGGCAGAGTAAAGAGTTAAGGGTCAATGCTTTGGGTACGTCTGCCATGTTCTGTCACTTACATTGCTTGTTGGTTGTGTTCCGTTAGGGGCTGATGAATGTCAAAGAGGTACTTGTGTTGGGATTTGAAACGGTGACCAAGAGAACAAAGTACCAGCACTCTGCCAGCTGTGTCTCTAAATTTCTGTTTTCAACCATACTCAGCTTTGCTGCTTTTGAAGATAAAATTTGTTCGTCAGACAATTTTTTCCCATTTGTCCTAGTAAGTCCAAACCAGATCGCGTTATTTATTTTTTGTCAGTACTAACTCCACCAAATGGTTACAAAACGTGCAAAGAGAATACGGGCCTTACCTGGGCCCGATTTCATGGTGCTGCTTAAGAGTTAGCAGAAACCGTAGCAGAAAATGTTTTAATCTGGAGTACTATTTCATGGAGTGGTGTGGCAAAACTTCCATCATGGTTACATCACTATTTAATAGTTAAGTGAATATTTTCCTCCAAGGTAAGTGCGCCTTTTGCCGTGCTTTTAGTGCTTACGGTCTCCATGAAATAAACAGAGCCTCTGTTAGTTTGAAATTGTGTGCTCAGGGGTGTCATGATATTAAACGCAGCTCTCTGTCACTAATTGGAGCCTCCCCATTAAGTCATATTTACACAAGGGCGTTTTTAGTCTCGGTGTCTGTTGCATACACAGGCCTGCATATTAACTGTTGGCTTGAATTTTCAACCTGACACAATCAGACTGAATATGACCTATGCAGCTTAGAGGTCACTTCTGATTGTCTCCCAGACTTTTCTTGCTAGCAGACCCAAATTAAAGGGCAGAACTACTTAATCCAACAATGACGGAAGGATAGCAGACCTTCATTGTCACTTCATTTCTTGTCTTGGTGTTTTTGGGCCTTGGCAGGGTTGTTGAAGAAGCTACTGGAGCATGAGGAGCCAGCCAGAATATTGATGCAGTACCAGGGAAAGACAAGCCTTTCATCAGTAATAAAAAAGGTCGGTCTTGCTGGTAGATAAACAGTTTTCAATTTTTTAGGGGGTTACACAATGGTTATTTTTGATAGCCTGAAATTTATCCGTTTGAAATATTACGGCTGTTCAGACGGTTTGAAGAAATACCTGTGAAGATGTTACTTTAGAGTAATCCCGATGGTGACGTGTTTAATTCCTTACGTTTTTGTAAAGGTTTTCGTTCTTTGAAAATAGGGTTTATTTTCATTGCGGGGTGAAACTTTTATCTAATCACAGAAACTCAATCATGTTTGTTTGACTTTTGCTATTTTGGCAGATGCTGATGAGTAGAGATGACACACTGCAGGTAACCAGCGTGCAGTGCACCGCCCAGATACTTTTGCACCAGAAAGCTCAGTTGTCCCACCATTGTCAGTATGCAGAGGAGCTGTTGAACAGTGACGTGGCAGAGTTTCTCTATGAGACACTGGCAACCGTAAACGGTTTACTGTTAAGGTAGCTAGGTCGTAATTCTGTGGCCCTTTTGAGAAACGGGCCAAGTTAAGGTTTTACGGTCTAGTTGGGGTGATATTGCAGATGAGTTTGTGTAGCCCTTCTACATTATTTGTTGTTCCTACAGATTTGACCTAGGGGGATTTGGTCAACGCCCTGCACCACTCTTGTTCCATTTTTAACTCCCCCCTCAAAAAGTAATTTGATCTTATCCTTGCAAAAAAGTGGTAAATGAATGCAAAGAAGAAGTTTATTTGTTTGAATTTTTGACACTGAATCATTTCTGCTTTGAAAACTTATTATGAAAACCTTCTGGCTCTTATCCCCTCTCTCTCTTTAAAAGTTGACTGGATTTGTTCGTTAAACTTTTCCAATTGCTCTAGAGTTTTGTCAATATTTACAAGCCTGCGCACGTTTGACACCAAACTTGTTAACTCTCTTTACCCAAGTCTGGTTGCTTATTTTCTCATCCATCTTCAGTTCAACATTCTGCTGCCTACTTCTCTTGACTGAGATTGACAGCTTCTTCAGCAAGTGCCACACTGTCTACGGCATTGAGTCAATTGTCAGGGCGGTACAGCAGAGTGCAAAACTCAACAACACTGAGGCACTGAACCAAGGGTAAGACGGTTTCAAGTCTGTCGTTTCAGGACAGCGATTTAAATAAAACAAAAGGCTTTATCAATGTCTTCCACAATATGTGTTGTCTCAATCCTATTTATTAAAAGCCCTGTAACATTATGGACAATAAATCAACAGAACAGGGATGAAACAGTGTTCTTCGGTCGGCTAATGTTGCCAATACTTGAGTGCGGTTGAAAGTGTTTTCCTGTCATACAGAAGGCTTGTGTTCTGTTTCTAATTTTTGGATTTTGTAACTAGAACATCTTAAGCTTAATTAGATGAAATTGAAACCACAAAGGTAACAGCATTTCTGAGTACTTTTGTCCTAAAAAGTTAATTTTAATCAAACAG